ATTTTTCTGGTTTTAAATAACCAGAAAAAGGTTGAAAGCTGTAGAAGACGAATAAATTATAGGATTTAAAAAAAAAAAAAAAAGATTTATTCTCATTACTATGGCGGTTCAGGGTTGGCATAATGGCTAACACAGGAAATGGAAATGTCAATCAGAGTTCAAATTCCAGTGGAGGTAGTTTGTATATCTATATCACATCATTGCTGGTACATTGTAACACAATGCAACCTGTTGCAGACGATCAGCACTGACCTGTAATGCCTACTAGTGCCTTAAGAAAGGTCATGAAAAACCCAATATGGCACCCTGACAAGCTATTTGGTCAAAGGATAAATTAATTGACTGTACTTTGAGACAGCATAAAACTATCTCCTGAATGTTAAACCAGAGATTGTAACCTTCTGTTGGTTACATATATTTGAACCAAATACTAAAATTTTTTCAGCTCTTTTTCATTTGGGAAGGTTGTATTGTGCCATTCTTATAACTCCATTTAATTCTTTTTAGCTTAGTAAATATTGAGAACTGATTCTTCCGTTATTGATTATTCCTGCCAATATATCTATGGTATTGATAACATTGTATTCTTTCTAAATATATTGACTCCACTATCAGAAGTTATCTTACAACTCATAGATCTGTTAATGATGCTACTATGGATGACTAGAAAATGTTACTGAAAAATGTACACAGAGCCAGATTAAGACCCACAGGAGCCCTAAGTACTTAAAGATTTTTGTGCTCCCATAGATCTGGAAGATAAGTATGTTAGCAAGAATTTGAATTTCAGTGAGTAATGTGAAAAAAAAAAAAAAAAAGACCTCAGTTGAGAATGTACATCATAGAAATGCCAGCTGGAAATACAAAGGAGAGGGAATAGAAGGTATATACAACCATTGAGGGTTTCAACTCAGTACACCAATGCCCTGGGGACCCACCCAGAAAGAACCAATCACAGCTAAGTAATTACTGTCAAATGAGCCATGAGCAGATTCTAACAGAACTGTAACCAGAAGTGGTTGTGTAATAAACAAACCAGTACATTACAGAATCACATAAGCATGTAGCCAGAATAATGATGACAAATGATCACTAATCCACTCTACCTCTGTGAATGTTCAGAAAAATTAAATCCAATAAAGTTAATTATTAATATTAACTTATTCAAGAGTGAAGATGCGATGTATTGAATAAATACAAACCTTATTATCTCCCTTAGCATAATCACTTATTAACCAATCAGAATCACAATAAAGATTTGCTGCAAGTCAGATATCTCCCTGTTCATAATGTTACCAGACAGATTCAAATGTTAGCTGTGCTTGACTTATTTTTTTTTTAAATGTGTACAATGTTACAACAATTTTTGTAGCATCCTGTTCCCTCAATGCCCTAAGTACATCCTTATTTTGCTCAATTCTATCCCTGAATGTACAAAACTCACAGTAAAAATTATGAAATCACCATAGTGGATGTTCATACAGCATTTTTGTTTTTTTAAAACTTCATAGCAAATAACTAAAATTATAGATGACAATTTTTGTTCAACTAAACATGTTCATTTTATGAAACATACCAAAGAAAAAAATCTAAATGCAATTATTTTAATGTTAATGGTGAAATTAGCCATCTCCAAACAGAAAATATCCAGTATTCATTGACTGAATAGTTAGTGTTATTGTCGGTCAAAATTATTGTCGGTCAAAATTTATAAAATGTTTCTATCAAAACAGTTTTTCAGGAAAATAGGCTTCTCAAGTCCACTAACTTTCCTTGATCTTTTGACTATTGATGGCAGTTTCCTTCCTAGCTTTTTGTTTGAAATAGTGTGCAATGTCAACACCTTGATTATATCATTTTTAAGTTATGGGCTATCCATTTTAGTTTGTACTGCTGTTGGAAATTTTCATGTGCTAGCGGGCACTCCTTAAGCCCATAAAAAGGTGTGCATTTCTTTTCCTAGCCTCTTTTTACAGCTTTCTGGCTTTCAGATGAAGTTGCATATGGGTAAAAAGTGTCCATCAATGGGGCACGTTCATTTTCATGGTTTTCTCTCTACTTTTGTACTCTATTGTTTGTCACACACCGTTATATACTGTATCTATGAACACTAATGGGTATGTTCTAATCCTCATAAATACGTTGGATACTATTGTAAGTTGGGGGGTAACATTCTGTATAAGTAATCCACCACTAGAAGTGGTTTACCTACTTCATGCTGCTGACGAGTATTGTATTTTGATGTTATAAAAATTGCCATTTCATTTCCAATCTGTTTTGATTATTCCTCATTCAGTAACCATTTCTAGGTTACAACAGAAAGAAAGAGAGAAAAAAGAACCAATGAAAGAAAGAAAGAGAGAAAGAAGGAAAGAAAGTGTTATATACTGTACCTATGAACACTAATGGGTATGTCCTAATCCTCATAAATATGTTGGACACTATTGTAAATGGGGGGGAAAATGCAGTCTAAGTAATCCACCACTAACAGTGGTTTATCTATTTCATGCTGCTGGTGAGTATTGTATTTTGATGTTATAAAGATTACCATTTCATTTCCAATCTCTCTTTTGGTTGTTCCTCATTCAGTAATCCTTTCTAGGTTACCATACACACACACACTTGTTATAGCTAGTTTCACAGGGTTTTTCCCCCTTTTGTCATATGTAATTCCTTCTTTAAATATATGCATCGTCATTTGTTTTATATTGTTTTGTGTTAAGCATTTTTTACTTGGACTCACATTGAGTTCGCCAATAATTGCTGTGGGATAAATAATTCCAGGAGACATGTTTCTACCTAAACACACTCACATTCCTGCAACAAATCAACATCTTTTACAACATTTCATGTAGGATTTCTTTCTTGAACAAGATCTAAAATCCTTTCCATTGTTTCTTGTACTTAACACCCTATGGTCATGGAATGTGACATTTTTAATGGGTGGGGGTGCCCCCCCCCATATATATATATATATATATATATATGTGTGTGTGTGTGTGGGTCAAGGGAAACAATTGCTCAGCCTCCCACGATTAACGTTACACTGACATGAGTAGAAACCAATCCTCTTCATGCAATGGGGACTGTGCTTGCTACTAGGTTGGAATCCCTGGAACTAGGCTTCTCTCATAGCGTAGAGAAGCTGAACATATACTATGCTTTGATCCTAACCCAAAGGCCAAGTAAAACTAGAGACAGGTTTCCTTTCAATTAGTGAAGTACAAAAGCTCATTAAAATCTGCAAAGCTAATTTACTTATTTTCAATTGTTCTGCTATTTGCTTTATAAATAGGGGATTTTATGATGTCTTTTTAAATTTTTAGTTATTTAGAAAATTCAGTCATAGAGAAATGGTCATCTTCCCATAATGCTCCAGTAAGTACCTGACTCGTCAATGCTATTCTCTACCTTTAAAAAAGTCAGGTCAGGCCGAAAATGGATTACTCTTGCCATATTTGGATGAGAGCTACCCAGTTCTCACTTTCCAGTTTTAAGTTAAAAAATATGAGTCCTTGTTGATCAGTTTGACATATCAACTCCTTATGGGTCATTTAATGCCAAAATTTAATAGAAATATTTTGAACACAATTTTATAGCTTCAACTAAATATTTTTTTGAATACAATTGTATGCCTTCAACTACAGATAAAATGTATTATTGGTAATTCTACAATAAAATGTATTGTTGGTACTTTTTCATATAAATATGTATTGTTATACTTTCATAATATTTTGTTTGGTGGGGGGTTCACTATTTGGCCATAGTTGGGAGTTTAACAAGTGGACCTGGGAACATCAGTTATGAGGTGGTTCCACACTCTTCAAAACTGGCAATTTCTCAACAGCCTGGCTGCTGAATATAGTTTATCATCATACACAAAGAATCCTTGTGGGTGACAAACTTTCGAACATTTCTCTCTCATAGGTGGGATGTGGTGAGCCTATCACAGTGTTATTGCTACTTCCATGTGTTATAAAATAAAATAAGACATATCTCGCCTGATTTGCAGGCAAATAAACTAACATACTTAATAGTGAGAGCTGGATGGGAACGGGACAAGGCCCCGTCACAAAATGACCATTATCATCGTCTACGCATAAGCCCGATGCATGAGTTCCGGTCGAAAAATAAAATAATATTTTAAAGTGTTTCTATTTTTTGACCAATAAAAATGCTTCCCTCCTAATTATACTTGCGTCGTTTTTTGAGCCTGTTAAGCCATAAAAAAACACCATAAAAGGGGTCACACTGGGAAGTACAACAGCAGTCAACAAGAGGCCAGGGAAGAGACCTGTCACGGTCAGTCAGCAGCAGTCAGCAGAAGGAGTGCCACACTAACCAGTGTGAACTACTATGAGAGATCAACCCAGATTGGGAGCCGGCTTATGAACTATACCACAAGGTAGCTGTCCCAAAACCACATGTTCCTATTGAAATAAATCACGTGAATCTATTTCTGCTGTTGTCGTATTTCCTTCTTGCAACCATACGCTTGTCTATAACACATGGAAAGTGCTCAGATGAACTATATTCCTTGCTTCTGACCATTCTAATCTTCATGGCTAGGACTCACCATGCTACACACATTGTAATGATCCATTCTCATTCACTCTGTATTCCATTAGTAAGGAGTAAGTTCTACTTGAAGAGCTGCTTCTTGCAAACCACTGCTCTGTTCCCCGCACCTCAACCACTACAATCATAATCTGTTTAGTTTTAGCTGTTATCTTCCTCTTCTATCTGCCTTTTAATGTAAACCCTCTACCTTGAGTGGCCCCTGAGCTTTGTACAGGGTAAACCTTAAAGTAAAAAAAAAAAAAAAAAAAAAAAAAATTAGTGTCATTAATTCTTTTTTGCAGCAAGATTTTTTTATGGCCGATTGCAGACATTTTTTCAACAGATAATAACCCTGACCTGTTTAAAAAATTAAACAAATATTTCTTGTGAGATTGGAAAGAACGCAAAAAATATCAAAAATAAAAATTGCATTCACTTACTTTCCAAGTCTATAGTCATCATCTTCATACTGAAGATGAGTGACAAGGCATCGAACACCTTCCTTGGCTGATCCTTTGAAAGTTGGCCATGTTGTTGGACATAAGCATTTGTATCTGAGAAAAAAATAAAACAGAATTTATGTTTTATGAATGAAACATGTGGCTTTGTAGCTGCCTTCAAGTCTTAACTAAAAGATTCTGTTCTTTGATAAACAGAATATTATTGAAAGAATTGGATAGAATTTGGAAGTTGGTGTGCAGTAAGTTGAATCGAAGATTTGGGTTTGTTTTCCCTTGCAGACATTTTGTCAAGTAGAGGACCATAAACCAATTTCAATAGCAAGTATTGTTTTTGGGGAGCGGCATTCAGATTTCAATGGAAATATTGTAAACAACCTTTAAATCAGTGAGTATTTAAAACTCATTTTTAAATTTAATACAAGAAAGTTCCTAATGGTGATAATTTTTAGTGTTATCCGATTTTGTTGGCTTGAGAAAAATTTATCTGCATATTAAAGGGTAGGGAAAAATCATTGCCCTTTATTAATATCTGAACAAAACTGATACATTACACTGGGCGTATTTTTTAAATACATACAAAAATGTGTAGGGATGCGAAAGGCGGTTATCTCCCTTTGGTTGAGATGAAGTCACACAGATCATTTGACAGCAACTTAGTGATGTCAGTTCATAGAGTGATGAAAGTGGTCAATCCATTAGTTAGTGACATGGAGTCAGGACACACAAGTTATTTCTTCACATGGGTGAGGTAAAACCTTTGCTTGAGGCAGTTCTCAAGCTCATAGTGCCATTTTCCTATTCTCACCAGAAATATAGAAGATAAATCTGGCCCACTCAAATTATAGAAATTGCAGCTTGCAATTTTCTCATTAGGAGAACTGCATGACTGTTTTCCTGTGGGGAAACATGCTCTCACCAGAGACAGAAGATAAATCTGATCTGATTGAATTCCCATTGGGAAATTATTACAAGTAAGACCCTTTATCTCTTCATTTTCACACTGCTTGTTATATATATATATATATATATATATATATATATATATATATATATATATATATATATATGGGTTATAGTTTCTGCATGGGACAATTGTAAATATTTCTATATAATTGTGTGTACGACTTTTCTGTTCTATTCATGTATTAATAATTTCTCCTTGAATATATAACAGGTGTTGAAAAATAGCTTACATATTATATATTACAATGTTTAATACAAAAGTCAGTGGATTGATAAGGATAAATCTCCACAACGAACCCCAATGCAAAAAAGTTAATGTTATGCATGTGGTTGGATCATCAGGGTATTATTCATTTATTGTTTTTAAAGCATAATGAAACACTAAATGCATATTTATACATCAAGCAGCTGCAATGTGTCCATAGATATTTGGCCAAAAAGCAGTTTGCGTTTGTCAAGAGAAAAAATGTTTTCCATGACAACGAAGCTGCATACAGTAAGAATTACACAATTTTTGGAATTGTCGGTCTGTTCTACCCCCCTCCCACCATATGCATGTGCCAACTGATTTGGTTTTTGCTTGTTGCAAAGTGCTTGATGTGGAAAATTTTCTCTAATGAAAACCAGATTCAAGAGTTTGTCAAACTTTTTCATATCAAGACCTGCAAAATTTTGCTCAAAAGACATCAAAGAGTTGCCTGATAAATTGTGAAACTTAATTGCAAATAAAGGTGAATATAGAATTAAAAAAAAAAAGAAAATCTAATTGTACTTTACTTTTTGAAAAGTTGATAAACAAAAATTAAAATTATGTGACTCTACTCAATGTTTAAAATTTTAAAATGTTTTTTTTTATATTTTAATATTGTAAGAAATTTATTTTGTTATTTGGTTATTTTAACTTTAATATTTTAATTTTTTTTTTTTTAATATTTGATAAAAATGAAATAGAAACAAATTTTAATTCAGACAAATTCAAATTTCTTCTGGTTTTTTTTTTTTTTTTAATTAAAAAAAAAAAAAAAAAAAAACATGAAAATTATTTTCATCATTTATCTGGTTAAATTTTTTTCTGAGTGGGTAATTTTATGAACGCCTTGTATTATTTTTCATCAGATTTTCCTTTGTAAGTTTTTTAAAAAATTTGAATAAAAAGTTGAAAATTGGGATATTTCTTAATTTGCCAAACATGGACGACTAAAATGGAATGCATGAAACATAATTGCCTTTGTTTTTCTTTTACCTTTTTAAGAAAACTTCATAAGGTCTTCTGTAAGCAAAACCAGCTCTGCGTACCCGTAAATTCTCCATCAGACCCAAATACTTGACTTGGTGGCTAACAATTTGATCATCAAATAAATCTGTAAACAATTTAAAAGTGAAAGATAAATACAGAAAAAAAAATTAAATGATTCAGGATTAAAAGATTTAAATACAAAATCAGTCACATGCCATGCATGATACACACTTAGTCACGTATCGAAAGATACATGATCACCTGACAAGGCAGATTCTTTTCCCACAGTAGGTTGCCATTTTTTTCTGTGGTAGACCTGTTGCCATCCAAGGCTATAGAATCTGGTCTGTCCTACTATTTACCCATAGCTAGGTGGAGAAGAGGATTCATACCTTTCTCAAGGGTATTAGTACATAAGTGAATGTAATGGATTCGACTGGAATTCGAACTTGGCTCTCTGATTCCTCAGTCCGAGCCACTATCCACTACTCCACTGTACCTCCAAAATATGAAATAGACACTGGAAACACAAAACTCAATCAATTTCTTTAAAATATAAATACAAAACTAGTTCTCCACCAGTAATTCTTGTGTCAAAATCATGTTTGATGAAATTGGTTATTTCTATTGCAGTAAAATGTTTTTGATGCACAATGTGGTTTGAATAAATGAACAACGGAGGAAATGTTGCTTACCTGGGTACCTTCAGAAAAACTGAGGGAATGAGGAGTGTTTTTATGGACAAGGACCAAAGCATTGTGGGTAAAAAATGTTTATATAATCCCCCCTCCTCACCAGGTAGTAGGAGTTTGATTTTTTTGGTGGGGAGGTTAAATTGTTTTTTTGGAGTACCAAGCAAAAGTAGATTGCAGAAGCAGTGAAAATTGTAAAAGAAATGGAAATCCAGGAATTTTATTTGCTTGGTCAAAGTGGGCAGATTTCTAGCAGTTCTAATACTGGTACATTGGAAAAGTAAGGAACCAAGGTTTAAGGCCCCAAGTCATAATTTCCCTCCAGTTGCTTTCTGCAACAGGAATTGGTTAAGTACATGTTCTTCATTTTTGTTCACTTTATTTAAACTGCATAGAATTCCATCAATTTGTATTTTCACATTTCTCAGTTTTTCCAATGTTTATTAGAATTTCAATATTTTGTTCCTTTTTTTCTGGATCAAGCTTTCTCTTGGACATAAGGTTATTGCTAGATTATTGGACATATTTGGAAGCTTTTCTAAAAAAAAAAAAAAAAAAAAAAATGTAAGATTTTTTTTTTTAAGCATTACGCTTGAGCAAGGCATGAAGCCACTAGGAAGCAGGGGGTTGCAGAAGATTTGGAGCGAGAGCAGATAGGAGTGATAGAAGAAAGGATGAGGAGAGGGATAGTGGATAGATCAAGGTAACTGGAGATGTTGATTGACATTACATTTGAATAGTTGGAGATTATAGCTCTCAGGGAAACAGTAATTGGGAAGGGTGTTCCACAGGTGAGAGGTGCGAAGTATGAAGCTACTGGAGTAGAAGAGACGGCTACATTTAAAAGTTTCTACAGTGAAAGGGTGAGAGCGGGATGACAGCCTTATAGGGCGCTTGAATTCATGGAGTCTGGGAACCAGTGAGAGCAGCTCATCGGAGCAATTACCATGAAAGTATTCGTAGAAAAGACAGAGAGAGGCGTCTGTGAGAGAGTGATTGTAGACGAGATGCCAGATCAGGGCCAGTTATATAATATATATCCGTCTTTGGATCTTGTCAAGAACTCCGAGGTAAACAGAAGGTGCCCCAGACCATATATGGCAGCAATGCTCCATGCAAGGGCGAATGGTTTGTTTTGTATATTTGAAGTATCGATTCCGGAGAGAAAAATTTCCTGGCACAGCACAGTGAGCCAACTTTCCTCACGGTAGACGATGCAATTGACTCAATGTATTTTTTCCATCTCAGGTCAGCAGTCAACATGAGACTGAGCAGATTTAAAAAAAAAAAGTTATAAAAAGTGAAAAATCACAAATAACTGAATTTAATCTGAGCATGTGTAAGTGGAATGATCACACATTCATGTACATGTGTTATTTGTATTCACTACCCAAGTTGTCAGTTCATCAATCAGGTTGACTTCAGTCAGATGATAGTGTCATCATGAAATCTACAATCCTTTCATTCGTTGCATAGTATATAATTCATCATCAGGGATACAAACGATTTTGAATTCAGTTGTTTTTCTCCTAGACTGGTTGTCAACCACAGCTAGAGAAATCAGTCTGCACTGTTATTTAACCCATAAACTGAGAAGTGAAGAAATTGGTTCACACCTTTTTGAAGGGTATTTTGCATGAGAGTGAATGTAACTTAACCAGAATTTGAAGTCAGATCAACAATTTCTTATTTAGAGCTGATAACTATTACACTGACTGCATATTCTAAGGTCAGCAGCTAGAATAAATATTTTCTGCTTATCTTGAGAGCTAGAAATTTTTGACAGAAAATTAACACCTGTTCCAGTCCCATAAACAACTTAAAAACTATAAATAATTAATTTTCATTATTTTCACTATTTACATTATTTGGACTATTGTCCTCATCTTTGTCGCCATATTTATTACAACATTTCAGCCTTTGTATGCTCCAGCCTTCTTCAGGTGGTTGGAATGTCAAACTGAACCCTTTATTTTGCTCAACGGGGTAGACTGTTCTAGTTCCATGTGTCATGTTTAAGGGATGTCAGTTATTAGTTATCTCCTGTTAATTCCCCTCTTCAAATTCTCCACTGCCTTAACTGGGTATTGAACTCACACTCCTTGGGTCCTGTCACTGGATCTAACTAATGCCTTATCCACTGTGCCAGGTGTCCTCAAGGATAAAGGCGTTAGTTAGATCCAGTGACAGGACCCAAGGAGCACAAGTTCAATGCCTGGTTAAGGCAGTGGAGAACTTGAAGAGGGGAGTTAACAGGAGATAACTGATAACTGACATCCATTAAACATGGCACGTGGCACTAGAACAGTCTACCCCGTTGAGCAAAATAAAGGGTTCAGTTCAACATTCCAACCACCCAAAGAGGGCCGGAGCACACAACGGCTGAAATGTTGTAATAAATATGGCGACAAAGATGAGGAAAATAGTCCAAATAATATAAATAGTGTACATAATACCTCATCTCAGAAATATAGACAGTTTCATTATTTTATTACTAATTTTTATTCTCATTTATACCAGACTAATGCCCTCCAGCTCCTTGTCAATACAAATAACCTATAGGGGATTTCAATTTCATTGATGGATTGTTTTCTGTAGCTTAACACTTTGCAAATTATTGAAACAAAAAATATTTTTAGATTTTCTTTTTTTGGTGGGGGAGGAGATAATGATTTAGTGATACAAATCCTACTATTTAACCTATAGCTGGAGGGAGAAGAAGTGGATTCATACCTTTTCCCAAAGATATTTGAATATAAGTGAACATAATGAACCCAGCAGGAATTGGAACTTTGCTCTCAATTAACAATTCTAAGTCATTATCCATTGCACCACCCACACAGTCAAGCTTCACGCAAACTTGAGTTCCACTCTAAGATGAAGTCAATGACTAACAGGGAAAACATTTTAGAACAATTCTTTTTCATGTCTTTATGAAAAGCAGGAGAATTTAAAAAAACAAAACTGGAAATGTTTCCTTTTCTGGCATACATTAGATAAACGATGCCCAAAGTGTGCTGTGACTCCCTCGGGCACTGTGGTTAGATCCAGGAGTCAGGTCTGGAAATTATAATAACCATGAAAAAGAGAAAACAAAAAAAATGAGAGTTACTGTGTTGAGCTTTATTCAAAGATTTGAAGAAACTTAACCAACAAACTCGCCTACCCAACCAGATTACGATTATTAAAAGAGGAAACAAATTTTTTTTTAATGAATTTAAATCATATTATTCCCTTTTTTACCTAATTTAAGCACATGAATGTAAATTCAACTATTTTGTGTTTTTGTTTGATTGATTCATTTTCTATGGCTTATCAAACCATTGCATGTTATTTAAGGCCAGAAAATATTTTTTTAAATTGTAAGAATGTTTTTGGAGATAGTGATTTTATTAATACAAGTCTTACTACTTAACCCATAGCTGGGGAAAGAAGAAGTGGATTTATACCTTTTCCCAAAGATATTTGCATATAAGTGAATATAATGAACCCAGCAGGAATTGAAACTTTGCTCTCAGTTAACAATTCCAAGTCATTATCAATTACACCACCTGCACATCCATGATTACAGCACTTGGCATCCTAAGTGGTGGTCACCCATCTAAGTACTGACCATGCTTGATGTTGCTCAACTTCAGTGATCATATGGGAACCAGGGTTTCAAGGTGATATAGCTGTAAGCCCCTTTGGGGATTTCAAACTGAATCCTTTAATTAATCTTCCGTTCCAGATCCTTCGAAGGTTACTTAAATCAACAAAAAATCTGAAGAAGGCCAGAGGGTACAATGGCTGAAACGTGATGATAATAAAGATGATGACATTATTAACAGTAATTGCCATCAAACTAAGGATAACTCCTCTCCCTAGAAATTTTATTACTCTCCTCTATTATATTAGCATATCCATTAAATTAAAGCATGAATTAAAACAAATAGCCGACATATATAAAATGCAATGTGTAATGCTTTCCACAGAGTACACAGATACTAGACTGATCCTAAGCAGAGTGTTGCGGGGAGTAACATTTTGATCTTCAGACGAGCACAAAAATGATGCACATATTGTAAAGCACTTACAATGTAATTCTTGGCTTAAGAGCCAATCCATACATAAATTCACACATTTAACTGGTAATGTTCTAGAAATCTATCTCTCAATCTCAAGTGTGTGTGTGTGTGTGGTGGAGTAATGGATAGTGGCTTAGACTGAGGAATCCAAGAGTCAATTTCATTGCATTCATTTACATGCAAATACTCTTGCTATCACAAAGTCACAAGTCATCATGGCCGAGGGCTTGAGCGTGCTGGCCTTGTCCAAATTGTTGATCATGCTAGATCATGCTCTTTCCCAGAAATTGTAACTAAGGTCTGCTCAACGTATTTGCAGTATAAACCACAGGTGGGCTTTGTGGGTGTTGAATAAACACAAATGCGTCTGAGCAAGTGTCTGCAATAGGAATTGACTATCAGACGTGTATCCTTGAATATGAGTGGCCAGCTTTGGGAAAGGTATGAATACATCTCTCTCCCCCAAACTATGGATAAATAGCAGTACAGACTGGATCCTATAGCCTTGAGTGGCAACCAATCTAGGAGAAGAACAAAAACAAATTCAAAAACCCGAAGAGGATCATTTGGTGATCTTGTGGCATGCTGTGCACCATTTCCGTATCTCGCTCTTCCCAAAAAGTGTGGTTGGTTCTGCACATGCCTTCACTACAATAAGCAAATATATGCATGCAGTCCGACTGTTCAGTTCTGTGAGCTGAGATACTGGACACAGTATTAAATGAAATAACCTTGACTATTTATCTTTGTTTTATTTTTTTATTTATTTTCAAACTTCAAGCAAGAAATCCTTGAAAAAACAAAAAAGTTCTTCATAGCCAATATTTATATAATACAAATCAAATATATTAATTTCACCTGTTGAAGTTAATGATATACTAATTAAAAAAATAAATTTAAAATCTGAGAAAGCTAGTCAGCACAGTAAGATGAAAATTGTTTTGAAGTAAAAACTAAAATTTACTAAAACATTTACATTGGAAATTACTTACTGGCACGTTGGAATTTGTTTGGCTTGATACAGCGAACATAAGATGGTTCCTTGGACATTAGAATTTCCATCAATTGATTTAAACTCATCTTGAACTGTGTAGCTGCCTGCAAGAACGAAAAAAAAAAAAAAAGAAAGAAAAAAAATTGGTGAAAAATCCCCTAAAATATTAACTTCTGACAAGCAGCATTTCTGCCACAAAATATTTCAGGCCATATTATCTGAAAAGCAAAGTCTGATTTCAGGCAAGTGTAAAACTGACAAATTCTTTAAATTAAATTGTTTGAAATTTTTCTTGTTAAATATAATGTCATGAAATTATTCCCCAAAATAGATTTATCCTTGTTTATCAAGTATTTTCAACTAAAATTTTTATTTCAGATTATTTCAAGGCTTCCTACTTGAACTGTATATTTTCCCTTGATACGAATGATTGGTTATCAAACCAAAAGTCAGGATTTGAAAGGCTCATCTTCAAGGCAGACAGTTTTTATATCAGAATATAAATGTATTGTACATTTCTGGTAAAGATTGTATGTGTACATATTAGCATGAATGCAAATTTAGGCACTACCTTCCGTTCTGCATATACAACTAAGATGAAGACATATCAAACATATGTCAGTGTGCTATTTTTGCTATCTACATGAATACGACTGCTGATAATCTCGTTTATATATATTAGAATATTGTTACATAGCTAGACAAGGATACAATTATTGCTCTTTTTCACTTAAATTATTAAGATGACGCAGAAAGGGGGATAAATTCAAAGTTTAGATAATAGAGTTATTCCCCTTGTTTAGCATCTGCAATCGAGTCTTTTTAAAGCGGTTTTCTTTTCATGCTTTCCAACCTTTTCTTGGCGGTAAAAAATAAAACGCACGTTTGTAAACTGGATACACGATTTTAAACGGTACCAAGACATGAAATTATGTTGAACAGTTTACTAAAAAGGAAAAAAATTAAAATTACATTCATGAATTTAAAAGATGAACTATAAAGTCAATATCTGTTGCATTAAAAAAAAAAAGATCAAAAATATTTTACAAGTCTTAAGAATCAAGCAAATGCTTTCATCTACAACTAAAAAAAAAATTATCAAAGATTAGGGCTATTATATATGATGCACTACCATTTTTAGAGAAATATTTTTATAGAATTAATTTTATTTCTTTGTTGACCAATCACATTCCTTAAACTGACGAGTTATTGTCAACAGAGATAAATTCAGAAAAATCAAAATACATATGAAATATGCATCTCAAGTTTCTGTAAAAGTGTAAAATGAGTATTGTTTAATTAGCAGGAAAAAAAAAAAAAAAAAAAAAAAAAAAAAAAAAAAAAAAAAAAAAAAGAAAAAAAAAAAAAAAAAAAAAAAAAAAAAAAAAAAAAAAAAAAAAAAAAAAAAAAAAGAAACTTACTGTTTCTGGGCGTTTCTTACTGTTGAGTTCTTCTTTATTGAAACATTGGGCTATGATAGAATTTGTAGCTGCAACCATCACCTGAAAAATAAAACAAAAAAAAAAAAAACAAATCAACCAAATGAATGAATAGACTTTATAAAAATAAATTGACTAAAGAATTATAGTAAAAGTTATCTCTAACATATGAAACTGGCATTTACTACAACCAATTTCTGATGGCTGAATAGGTTTAAATTGAAAGGTAGTATTTTGACTTTATATTTTACAAAGTTCATCACTCTTTGGAATCAGATTCTTTGGGGTTTTTTTTAAAAGAGATTGTAATTTGCATTTCTTCTGAGAAATTTGAAACTTTATTTTGCCTTTTTAAATTTTATGAACTCAGCACCCATATTTTTATTTCATTATGAACTGATATTCATTAAGTGTACCAATTTAATACAAAAATCTGAGAATGGTGTTTATATTCTTGCATCTCTTCATCAAAGTGCATAAAAAAATAGAAAAATTAAGATATGAAGAGAAAAAAAAATGCAATGAATTTAAAATATATGCCATCATAATATCAAATATTGTTGCATCTGAGAAAGTTGTCTTTTTTCCGAATCTTTCATCTCTTGTAAAACTAATGGAAATAAAACATTTTAAAAATACAGTGTATACTCCATCTCTTGAGGTTTTTTTTCATAATACAGAGATAGAATATTATTTATTTTATATGTATTCACCAGTACCAAGAAATTTATCCCAAATTTGTTTTTAATAATTCTTTCTCTTTGACCATTTATGATCATTCATAACTTTTTTATATTTATTACATTTCTCAGTTGCCTCCCTTAGTTGGTTACTAATAAAATAATTCAATGTCTTCTACGTTTTGGATAAAGAAGCATAAAGTCTGACTGCTGTAATCTTTTAAAATTCTATTTGAATAAAGCTTTTGTTTATGTTTTGTTTATGGTGAAAATTTAATTTGTATTCACCATTTGTTTACTAATCATCCTGAAGCAAATTTTTGGAAATAGTACAACTACTACCATTTACGAAGTAAGGAACACATTTTGACAAAAAAAAAAAAAAAAAAAAAAAAAAAAAAAAAATTCCAAAAACGTTTAAAAACCAAGGGCTTCCTAAAACAATGATTAGTTTCTTTCGAAGAATTAGTTTAAAATTCGTTTTTTTCTAAATCAGTTTTTTTCTTTTTTTACATGTATATTTACGATGAATAGATTGTCTGAAATCAGATTTATTTTTTTTAAACATAAGACTCTTAAGACTAAGAAGAAGAGTAATAAATTATATTTTGTTGTTTGTATGACATCTCGTCTAATCAAAACCGGTTACAAGGGAGATAACTGGTTTTTTCTTTCAATGGATGAGCAGCGATTTATATCATTTGAAAACTTCTTTTCAGTGTATATCATGCAGATAATTACTTGGATACTATTTTTTTTGTTATTATAATCCTGATTACGTTCTTTTACAAATACTATAAATTGTCACAGGTACAAGTGATAAATTAGTCAGAAATATTTGGTCAAAACTTCAATTTTGAGAAATTTATTTAACAGTCTGTAGATTCTACAAAGACAGTTTATTTTAAACTCTTTCTCACCATAAGACCGACATAATACGAATAAATAGAGTATTTAATTGCCTGGATTTTACAAAAAACAGAAGATATAGATGTAATATCCCAATCCTGTAACCCCAGAGGGTCATTGGGGTGCTGTAGCTGTGGTAGTAGTTGTGCGTCTTGGGTAAGGTAGCCTGATGAAACCCAACAGTCTACATCAAGGGTTGGCAACCTACGGCCTGCAGGCCGGGTCCGGTCCGCGAAGGCATTTTGACCGGCCTGCGAGCCTGATTACCAATGACACTATTTTTAGACTATCTGCCAGTTATCTTTCATGAGACTTATTTTACCAAGTTGCGTTGCCTACGTTTAATGTCAAATAATGGATACATATTTGTTATGACCCTTGGCTACATTAAAAGATAACAGAAGCGAAAGGAACGATAAAGTGAAAGAGGCCAGGGAGGGACTGACATGCGAGGTAGCAGAAATCTAAAGACAGTTAAACATACAAGCATTATACATACATGCCTCATGAATGTGTGGATGGTACCGCATGTGTACGTACGTAAGTGTATATGTTTGCAACTATTTGTACTCGTATGTATGGGTATATGTGCTTCGTTTTTGTTTGATGTGTGTGTGTGTGTCGTCATTTGTGGAATAATTTTCAATAACAGTTTCAAACCTACATATCATAATTTCAACCATTTCACTTCAGCTGATTTTTTTCGCTTTGAAGTATTTTGACGTTCCTTGAGGAAAAGTAATTTTTGTTAGGTGTTTTTTAATTTTAGATTTTCTTTTGTTTTTCTGATTTCTCAATGTTTATTTTCATTATGGTTTTAAATATTTAGGTTGACAGGGGTCTGCATATGTAATTTTCCTTAATTTTTCATTAATAGCCTTCGTCCGGCCCGTGACCCGTCATTATAACATGATCCGGCCTGCGGGGGTCGAATGAGTTGTCGACTCTTGGTCTGCATGCTGGTTTGAATTCAGCATTTTTCCTTCTCCTAGACTAGTTGCCAACCAAGGCTATAGGGCTCGGTCTAACCTGCTATTTACCCATATCTGGGTAGAGAAGAGATAGATTCATACCTTTCCCAAGAACATTTGCATATAAGTAAATATAACAAACTCGACTGGAATTTAAACTCAGCTTCCCAATTTCTCATTCTGAGCTGCAATCCATTCTATCACCTGCACATCCACCTATATATCTGGATGTAATATATATCTTTATTATAGATTTTGTAGTTCATTAGAAAAACATTATAACAAAAATGATAACAATATAAACTGAAGATCATGCATTCTTACCTCTTTCAAGTCTCTATATAATAAATCATTGTTTTTATCCAAAAAGCCAAGGACATTGTAAGTAACTTCGCCAGCATAGTGGATCAAACGAAATTGCTACAATAAAAGAAAAATACATTATTATTTATAGATCAAATACAAATTTCATGCTAAATTCAGGGAATTGGTAATTCCCTTTATTTTGTGGGTCACACAGCCAAATAAAATAAGATCTTGAAGATCAGGAATGCTTTCAGAAAATTTTAGGTGGGAAAAAAATTATGAAAAATAAAACCTGAGAATTTTTGTTCATGGGAGTCAATCATGGAGTTGGTCTGATATTTTGGAGAAGTTGTAAGCTTTATACAATTTATCATTAATCAGAAATAATAAATTAAAAAAACAATGAACAAATGTTATAAAGGAGTTGGAATGATTGTTTTCATTTTTGATATTCTTTAATCAAATAATATTTAGACGGGTTTTCTTGATTGACTTGCATAATTCAAATAACTTTGGAAATACTAAATTTTTCATTTTCATATAAAAATTCTTTCAAGACAATGAGAATTTTTCTGGTAAACTTCCAAGACAATTTTTGTGATATTTAAAATAAATGAAAAAACTTAATTTATATTGATTGACAATTAAATTAGATTCCCACCTACAACATATGTAAATGGGTGGAGAAGGGCAGTGCACAGACAAAAAACAAAAGGACAGAACCCACAAAAAAAAAACAAAAAAAACACACAACACAAAACAAAACAAAAAAAAACACAAAACAAACAACAAAAAGACAAAAAAACAAAAATCTATTATATTTTCAAATGTAATTGTAACAGAGTTACTGTGTGTATTCTTCAAGTCACTGAATACCTGATTGCAATTTGAATTAACTTGAAAAATTTAAACCAAGTAAGAAATTTGAATTTTACTAGCATACCAGAAGAAAAAAGTACAGCTGTTTGGAGGACCAGTTGTACTCTGTCTTTTTGATCACAATTGGTGAGACTAATGTGAAACTCCAAATGCAAAAGACACTCATCTCCTTGGTGTCTACAGCCTTTCTTATATTTTCTCACTCATGCTCATTTTATTGAGTGACTGAGGCTCAGAAATTTACATAAGTCACACAAAATCTCCAAGCTCCGAAAAAGAGTTGTTTCTTAAATGGCGGCTTTTGGATTTGCCATATTTTTTCCTACACACGTTTTGTCCCAGGAAGTAATCTCCAACTGCTGGATCCTTCTGTGCTATTCTGGTGATGATGTTCGTCAGCATTTGAACTAAGAGTAGGTCCAATGTTTCATCATCCAAGCCAGACATTACATTAAGTTTGCTTGTCATTTCATGAATGTAGTTCTGAGTCGGAGCTAACCGCACACTGGCAGATGTCTGGTTAATTTCTCATACAGGGAAATGAGCCGATGGGTGAGCACGTTAGGCATCAGTAGGAGCTCACTCTTGGGTTTCCATTGCAGTTTATCTTTCTCCTCCCAGACATGTATACCAAGCATGTGGGTGCCATCCTTTAGCTGTTTCAGTTTCTTGTTAGTCTAAATCATTCCAGGTGTGCTCTTACAAGGGCCATGAGGCACACAATCTCATTGACAAATATGTTGTCAAGTACAAGGATTTGGCCTTTTGGATAGTTTTGACTTGTGCAACCATGGCATTGACAATTCGCCACGTGATCAGCAGTGCCACATTGAAACCAGATACCAATGTCTGACCTTTCCTGTTGCCACTCCCTTAATTTTTGTGTGCAACATCCACATTAGCTGTGTGTGTGTGTGTGTGTGTGTGTGTGTGTGTGTGTCAACATATTGAGTTCCTGATAATCCATAATGTGGTGGACCTTTTGCTTCTTTTCCTGCAGTACAGCCATTAGTGGGATTAGACCCTTGGAGTGTCTGGGCTCTTCAAGGTATGGAAGTCACCAATCATTATCTTTCCAGATTTGTGGTTTGTGTGTGCGTACACCAATTGAACAAGTCCAGTCCACAGCACCTAAGGCTCTCATCACAATAATCATGTTTTTTGTTTGTTTTTTTAATGTACCTCCACTTTAATACTGAAAAAGGCCCCAAACTTAATAAAAACAAAGTTTTAAAGTCAAAATGTTTATGTTGTTATTAAGAAGAAAGACCAAATGTTGGCCGTGCTGTAGCCAAAACACAAATAAGACCCAACTAAGATTGTCGATAACTCCTAAACGGTAGGTTAGCACAAATTTTTAATGGCGTTTTTGTAATATTCAGGCTTTTTTTTTACACCACAAATGATGCTTCTTTTTTAAATTGGTTTCTGGGTCCTAATCTGCAATTTTACCAGTGCATTTTAGATATTTCATGGAACAATTACTGATTATGTAGCAAACTGAAAGAATTGTTCTGTTTTTCTATCTGGATTTACTTCTATAGACTTTTGTGCCGAGATATAGCTGCAAGACAGAGGAGGTTTAAAATCAGTTTTCCTTCTAGAGTCACTGACTTCCTGGACTAGTGACCATCATCTACTATATATATATATATATATATATATATATATATATATATATATATATATATATATATATATAAAGAACAGTAAGATATATAATCCGGTGTTCTTATTGATATTTTTATTTTTACAAAACAGTGCTCAATGTAAATTTACAGAGCATTTTGGAGACATGGTTATTACTGTGTTGTGAAAAACAATTTAAACCAGTTGATTTAGTGTGTGTGTGTGTGTGAGAAACTAAAAAAAGCAATACAAAGCATTTTAATATATCCAAATATTAAACTAGAATAGAATATATGGAATCACAGAATCATATATTGTACTTGAGAGAATAATAGATTTTGTGTATGTGTGTGTATCATTTTCAATAAAACTAAAAGGAACAATGTTTATAAATAAAAAAAAGTTTACTTACATCCCTTTCAATTGTTTTCCTTGTGGCAGTGTCAGCAGATAAATGAGAAATAAAATGAGCATGGGCGGAGTGGGTCTGAGATAATTTGTCTAAAAATGTCAGATCTGTTGGCTCTCCAGGCCGGACACATTCTTCATCCTTGAGAAAAGAAAATCAAAGTTCAGAGCAAGACAAAATAAAATCTCCACACAACATGGACAATATTAGTCAGAATTAAATTATTTCCAAAAAGTTTAATTTGACAGAAGTTCTTTTCAAACCATCTGAAATCCATATTCAAATTCAGACATTCTTTTTATCTAAAATTTGAGTTACTTTTATTGAAATTATTTACTTCAATTTGGCAGTTTTCAGAGTCAAGCCAGTTTTTATTATATCAATATAATGTACTGAATATAGTGGGTGTTATTTTTGCTAGTCATCTTGTACATTCCATAATTGCTATGCAGCCCTTTGTAGCATATGACTTAGGGGTTAAAATGAACAGTTGATCTACCCATGTCAAGAAGGTTGATGGAGGATGATAATGAAGAAACACACAGGTAATTTTAACAAAACAAGATTTATATACAAATTTACATACATGAAGTAGTGTCAGCAGCTCATTTCAGGAAAATAAATCAGAATTCTTAAAGTTCATAGTTTTAATGTATTGTCATTAAGAGGAAATGTTCATACAACAGATTAAAGGATCAGACACAAAATAATATTCAAAAATGTTTAAAACAAAAGATAAGTTTTTTTGTTCACAGAAGGGTTATATGGTTGCATACATTCAAAAATAGACAAAGAGAGATAGTTTGAAATACTTAGCTTTCTTGGATTGTTGAAGGAAAAATCTTTGAAGTACCATGAGCTTGGTAAAAAGCTGATGCTATAATTGGTGAGTAATTTTACACTGGCAAGAACTTAAACACAGGACCCATGAACAGAAACAAAAATGTTACATGACTTCAGACACTCTTCACTTGTTAATTTAATTTTTCTACTCATTTTATATCAAAAAGAATTTCACATAGGTTTGCAACTTTTTTTTCTTGGCTCAACAGCTAATTTCTGTGAAGATAAGCTTTTCATTGGTCCAAAAACAATTTTACATAGACTCATAAATTCCTTTCCATCTTTTGTTCAGTCCTTCAAATTTGAAAGGAGTGGGTAAAGGGAGTTATTTTGTATTTACTACAGCCCATATGTTTCATGTAGCATCAAGTTGTTAAAAAAAGGGGTCTTCTCAAACTTTGATTTTGTTAAAATGATGGCTTCCAGTAGCTATCTTTTGAAAAACTAAAATATTAATGTCAAATCATACTTGTTATTTTGTCCCCAAAATAGTTAAATATTAGTACAAAATGAAAGAATGATATAGAGTAAAACAAAAGAATATTAGGAAATAAAAATACTTACCATAATAGCTATAATTCCAATAGGTTTACCTTCAACCAAATCACAGATTACTTTGTTATTGAAAAACTGGACAGGTTCCCACTGAAAAAAAAAAAAATTAAAATAAATAAATAAATAAATGTTTAAATTAAATTTATTGCAAATCTAAGTGCTAAATTTTTCATTTTTCACACTGTTTAATACTCATGTTTACTTTGTTTAAATTATTTTATGCAATTTAGGTTGTAAGTTTACTTTTTAAAACACTGAACTGCATGTGCAAAATATTCCATGTTATACCTAGTTTTAATTCATTCCTAAGTGAGATTTTTATTTTTTTTTTTTAATAAGTTTCAATAATAATTAAGTAAATCCTTTTGTGTGGAGAAACCGGAAATGAATATAGTTACTTCCCTTTACAATGACTTCCCTTGTCAGTTTTCACTATTATGGAGACTTTCAACAACAGCCACATTTTCATGCCCAAGGCAAACTAATGATGAAATTTGGCTGTAGCCATGCCTGGAGAAAGATGGGATCTGTCATAATATTCCTGCCAAGATATGCTCCACAGCAAATAATGACCATGTCAGTTTACAGGATTAGTGATAGAATGTGGTAGCCATTTAAATGCATGTTGTTCCTTTGCATTTTTGCTGGTTTAATGTTTCATACAGCTTGTTAATTTAACCTAAACAGTATTGTTTATGGCTACAATTTAGTAAATATATTGGAAAACTCAAACAAACATCTAAAACTGAAGTCATTGATACTTTAAACACTGGAGAAACATTTTAAAATCTTGAATTTAATTGCCTCAGCTTCTTCAACTACAAAAACCTGTGCAAAATTTCAGGTACTTATAGACTTCATCTTAAATAATATGACATTAACTTTGTTGTTTTTTCTTTAAACCTCCAGATCAAGGTAGCATTCTAGACAGAGCGGTCTGAGGCTGAGAGAGTTTATTATAGTACAGTTAATATCATTGCCCTTCTCCAAGACAATGCTGGCCCACTCTCTTCAAAAGGTTGCTAACCCCTGGCTTATACGAAGAGACTGTCAATTGGAAAGAGATTACATGGATCAGTTTCACACAAAAGTAACATTGCTTAATCAGCTGAGGATTAAAATCCTTTTTTATTTTCATTCTAAATGATGCTGAAGGATATAAATTTCCTCAAATGTAGTTCATATAAATCTTTTAATTCTGATATATAAAGTTAACATTAAATGGCAGTTATATAAAAAGTAAATAAATAAAAAAAATGAAAATCTTTTACTTGCCTCAATTCCCTCCCTTTGATATTCGTCCTGCTCTGATTTCAACGTCAACTCAATAAAAAGTTGCTGTAATTTTTCATTACAATAATTAATACAAAATTGCTCAAATCTAGAAGAAAAAAAAAAAAAAAAAGAAAAAATGAGAGAAAATTATTTTTTTATATCATTGTCAATTTCTATAATCAGATATGAAGTTTTATTTTTTTAACCATTTTATTTCTTTATAAAACTGATTTTATGAACTCTGGTTAATTTTACAAAAAGGCAACTGATAAATTTCTAACTTGACACACAAAGACCCACATAAAGCATTTTATATTTCCAAGCATAAATTTCTATTAATATATTAAAAAATTTCAAGTTTATTTTACCATGTAATATGCTTAGTTAATAGTAAGGTCAAAAATGACCTCAAATCTGTAGTTAACTGGATGGAAAAAGATGGCTTGTAAAATTTTAACAACTCTAAAACTAAACTTCTCTTCATTAATCATCTGAGAAAACCCCTTGCTGCCTTCGATCAGTATGGCTGATGCTATCCTCCAGAAAAGTGATTTCTTTTGCCTTCTTGGGCTCACATGAAGTGGAAAGACCATATTGAATCTATTTCTAGGTCACCTGCTAAAAAAAAAAAAAAAAAAAAAAAATCGGTCACTATGTCAGGCAAGACAATTTTCTTCTCTAGAATCTATCTTATATATCTACAAGTCTACCATTCATCCATGTTTAGAATATTGCTGCTAGATATTGTCCAGTGCCCTTGCTGTTTAGCTTCAGCTCCTTGATAAAATCCAAAGAAGAATCAGCAATATTATTGGTCCTGATCTTGTGGCTCAGCTTCAGTCACATTCCTGCCACTGTAAAATTGCCTTCCCGTGTCTTTTCTATAAATGCTTTCATGGTAATTGTTTGAATGAGTTCTTTGCTATGGTACCTTGGATTTTTTAATTTAAGCACAACACTGGACTGGTGTCAAGATCTCATCAATTTACACTTGAGCTGGCTAGATGTAGCCATAAATTCTATGCTAAAAGTTTCTTCTCTCGCACTTCTCACTTGTGGAACTCTTTTCCAGGTCCATGCATTCCAGCCAACTTTAATCTGCAAAAATTTAAATGCATTGTCTTTCGTTTATCTACTGCCCACTAGATTACTCTCTTCTCGTTATGTTTCTGTTCCTAATTCTTCCAAACCCTGTAACGCCTTGTGTTTTAGTGGCATTACTGCTTTGCTTGGGGTGATTCTGATTAAAAACAAAAAAAAACAAAAGAAACAAAACAAAATGATGATGATTAAATAATTTTTGATTAAATGATGATTAAATTTCTGATAAATTTCTTTGTTGCTGACTAATCAAATTCAGGTCATTTCTTGTTGATAATGAAAAAAAAAAAAAAAAAAATAAAAACAGAGGTAAATGTTAACTTTTAAGAAATCCTTTTTGTAGGAATTGAACCAGAAAATCAATTCTTAAATGCTCTGCCTTCTGGTGCATTTGTTATTTTACATCTGTATTAAACACTTTAATAATTACTAAACTAATTCTAATATGAAGATGTGACCTTTTTAGAGGATTTTATAGATTATTATGTCGCATTATAAGTTAATATTTTTAGCTGAAATTATCATCAGATAATGTCTTTAAAGGAGTGAATTGAATGAAAGCATACTCACCCATTGCTCTCGAAGATTTCAAAACCATAAATGTCAAGTAGGCCAAGCAAGGTACATCTTTCTTTTGACTGCGGAGAGAAAAAAAAAAATCATCGGGGTGACTAAAAGTGGAATTTTAATAGAAGTACTTTCTCTGTTCAGTTCCTCTTAATTATTTATCAAATTGGTAGGATCAAGGAATATAAAAACAGTTTTGTTCAATGTCTAAAATCAGAAAGTCTTCAGTGTTGTATTAAAAAACCTGTACGTCTCCTTTTAGAAAGATAAAAATATGGAGATTTACATTCATGTTCTAAATACTTCTTGTTGTGATGTAAGTAGAGTTCATTTGAGATTGCAGGGAAACACCTAAACGATTACTCTCTCAACAACTATGGGGTTAATATGCAGACAGGGGAAAGATATGGGATGTAACAAAAATATCATTGCCTCAGGAACCACAGCAACTTGAAGAACAAAATACCCATTGGACCAACTTCACAATGTACCGTATCTTGCTGACTGCTGGTTTTCCTATTGCTTTTATTGGCAGAAAGCATCCTACAAAAACCTTGATTTTGACCAGTTGCAGAGAGGTCTATATCTAGACATGCCAAGTTGTCCTGTTGCCTTATTTGCATCTGTACAGATGTGCATTTGTAACATTTCTGTCATAAAAATGATGTATTAAGAAAGAAAAAAATATGAAGAGAGTTGATAAAATGTTCTCAGCCCAACTTACCAAGAAATATTACTTTTTTTTTCTTTTTTTTTTTTTAAATGCTCCTTGGTCAGACTGAGAACTTTTAGCATTTTTTATACATTATCCGATTTTCTTTCTTTGAAACATTTTCCAAAGATATCTCTACTCCTTTTTTTTTTCTACAAACAATCCTTTTCAGATTGACTATATACACTTCCTAGGGAAAAATGTTTGAACAGTTGATATGTAGGAATACAGAAGGTGCTGAGCTCCCTTTGGTAGAGATAAATCTTATGGCTCATGTGACAGCTGTTTAGTGACATCACTGCATACAATGATCAGAGTAGTCAGTAATTCATTCAGCCAAACTGAGTGGTTGATTTTATAACTTGGGGACAAGGGGTCTGGGCTATAAAATCTTCCTCCCTTGCAAGTCCATGGTGCCATTTCCCTTTGGAAAAAACTAAGATTTCCCTTCATGGATAATGTCCTCACCTGGGACATAGCAGATGAATTTGAGCTGTTTAAATCTAGAGTCAAAAACATGGCTTCTCCAGACAAAGAAGCATTTCCATATAATATGTAAGACTGTTTCTCCTCACACTCTGCTTGTTGTGTAGATATAGGAGATATATTATTCTCTACATGGGACATGTTTATGTATGTATATATAGTTTTGTGTATGTTGCAGTGATATAAAAGTCCCTCCAAGAACGAAGTATATTTGTCATTCCTTTTCCTTTCAGCCATTCCTTTTCGTCCATGAATTACGGTATTATTATATCACTGATAAAATAATGCCCATAATGGGGTAAATAAAATGGGAGATTAAACCATTCTACTATAGCTCTCTCCTGTTTAGAAGTTAGAGCCAACTTTCTTTCAAAGAATAAACTGATGAAGGGAGGACAAATCATTTAAAGAAATCAAGACATTCAGCATATAAACTTATATTTTATAAGAAAATACTTTCAGTCAAAGATAATTGTGCTTTAAAATCTTACTGGTGTTGCAAGAGATGAATTAATTTTTTTTACAATCCAGGTAAACAGTCGATCATAAATTCCTTTGGCAAGGGCATCCCGCACATAAATTGCTTGTTCAGAATTCAAAGGAGTTTTCATCTAAAAGATAAAGAAAAAAACAAAACTTTTAACATAAAACAAAAGATTTATAAAATATTCAAGGTTAAAGTTAGATTCTTATTTTTGGGGGTATGTCTGTGTGGAAAAATGGAGAAATTATAGGTTGGGTCTTTGGGAATTCAAATAAAAAGGGCAGGAGAAAAAATATGGGTTTTTCTTTGATATGAAATCAGAATAAGGTTTGTTTTAGTCAGCAAAAGTCATCTTATCTGATAAGCCCTCATCTGTTCCCAAAATATAAAATTTATCCATATTGTCTTATGCTCAAATACTGCAAGAGAGAGAGTGAAAGATAAAACGTCCTGTAAATTGAAAGGGGTGTTGAGGAATTATACATTTATGTAATTATAATGATCAGTAAAGTTGAATTAATCCATAAAGCAAAAATATTAGAGAAAAAAAAAAATGTTAGGGTCCCCAATATTCTTACCTTTTCTTGCCTCACATCAATTGTTCGATTTTCTAAAGCTGTAATCAACTGCTCTTTTGGACAACCCAAAAGCTGAAAAGAAACAATATGATTAGTAATATTTTTAAAAAAGTGATTTTTTGGCACATTATATATAGTAAAATTCATTCTTTTAATAAATTAAATTTTGAAATTTTGTGAATGAATGAAATCAATTTTACAAGCTGGTAGAACGAGTAGTTATTTTACAATCAGAAATAGGACTCCAAGCAATGTGATAATGCCATTAAGATTACTGGGAGTGAAAGAGAATGGGAAGACATAGAAACTGGACACCAAATCCTAAATAGGAAACAATGGATGTCTACTCCTGTTTAATAGGAAGAAATGTGAACTGGGCAATAAGTGAACCTATCTCCTTATATTGAGAAGAGGGGAAAAAGTAAGGGGGGTAAGGGGGAAGGTAAGAGGAAAATAAAAACAGAAAAAACCTTTAAGATATACATTTAGCAAAACAGATTTGAAAGTTAAGTGTTTTCAGACATGTCAATAACAGAGAATTAAGAAATATTCGCAATACTTACATCAGCCACATATGTTTCATGTCCATTGTGAGAAAGTTTTGCGACTCCTTGATCTTCAACATGAGTTATATTTCCTAAGTGAAGAACAGCAGCGACAATGGCAAACAGAGACTGAGGAGGAGGAAGAAGAAAAAATGAAGAATTAATTAACCCAATTAACTGGAACTGGTTAATTAGAATTCTTGAGGGATTCATTTTGGAAAATGTTTTTCATTACACACAATAAATTTTATTTTAATTTCTTAGATTCACCATTGTTATTAATGCTCGAGAAGAATTGCTTTCATCTTATTTCTGTTACTTTTTGGTTTATTTCCAATCCATGCTGTTTGTCTAATAATCATAGAACAGAAATCTGAGAGGTAAAATAATAAAAAAAAAAAAGAAAGGGGAGGGGAATGAAAAATTAATAGCAATTCTTCATAAAATAAAAATATTGTATCTAATACTACATGTGAAAATGAGCAAAACATGGCATTGTAGTTGGGAAGGAACAGATTTATGGCTTATTTTTGCAATTCATATTCTTACTGGCTACAACAGCTTTATCTGTTGGCAGAGATGTACTCCATGAGATTGGGACAAACTCCCAAGAACAAGAGTTATATATATAACTTATTCCTGAGATTTTGTCGTGTGTGTGTGTGTGTGTGTGTGTGTATATAAAAAAAATGGATTAAATCCGACAAATATTTTAATATATTTTGTTTATACATTATTTTTATATTTTTGTATCCATAAAAATAATGTATAAACAGAAAATATATTAAAATATTTGCTAGATTTAATCCACTACATATATGTTATGATTGTTTAAGTTAGGTTACGTTTTGGAGCCAAAATAAATTGAGAAAAGTTGTCAAATGTGTGTGTTTATAAGCAGTAATTTAAACTTTGCTAAACTAGAAGTCCTCTGTTGCTGAATGGTTAACAGTTTGTCAGGCCAAATGAGTTTCCCTACACAATGCAGGTTCAATTCCTATTGGAGGACGCATATTTTCTATGAGATTTCTTGAATATTTAGGCTGGTAAATATAATTAATACTGTTTAAAAGCAAAGCATTTACTCAAATAAGTTGTATCCATAAAAATAGCATATAAACAGTGTGTGTATATATATATATATATATATATATATATATATACACACACAATGAAATGGACAAAGTCCGACAATTATTTTAAGACATTTTTATGTTTATAAATTCTTTTTATAGGTACAAATTTACGTAAATGCTCTGTTTATAATAAACAGTATTAATAACATTTACCAGCCTGAATGTCTGAAAAATTTTCATAGAAAATATTTGTCCTCTGACAGGAATTGAACCTGTATCCTATACGGAATCGTCATATAACCTGATGTGCCTTAACTGATTGAGCCACAGAGGATTGTTCAGTTAGCAAGGTTGATGTTATTGCTTTTAAACTACAATCTTCCATGAATCTCTTGTGTACATTCATATCTGCTCTGAGCATTTACTTAAATATTTGTATCTATAAAAAAAAGAATGTATAAACATAAAAATGTCTTAAAATAATTGTCGGACTTTGTCCATTTCATAATGTGTGATGTCATCTGTTTACATTTGGATACACATTGAGCAGAGTTTTGATCCTGGTTTGAAGCAATCGGAAATCAGACGTCAAGCCACACTGAAGAGCTGTGATACAGTCTGTTGATGTGTGTGTGTGTGTGTGTGTGTGTGTGTGTGTGTATATATATATATATATATATATATATATATATATATATGTGTGTGTATGTATAATATCTTTCTCTCGCACATGTTTACATATTTTTTTTTTTTTAATTCATAATGCTCCACTAATAAATGATAAATTATCGTCTTTTGTCAAAAAGAGAAAAGAGTTACTTCCCCTACATCGAATTAAAGAAGGGTTTGAACATTAATTTCTTTGCAGTATTATTAATTACCTTTTTTTTTTTTTCGACTTGCCCGATTTACTCTAATTGACAATCCTTCATTTAAGGAATTAAAAATATTACTAATACTACTTGAGTATATAGAATAAGTTAAAAAAAAAAAAGAAGTCTATCAAGCACTCGAAGAAGATAGAGAAGTGATATATTGTGACTGCAGCTAGTAAGCCCTGTGGCTGAAAGAGTAAGGCAGCTGTCACATTAAATTACATCAAGGAAAAATTAATGCACATTCAAGTCTTAATGGAGACATTCTTTATTTCTGATCTCTTGCTTATTAACATAGAATTATTGTTTTTGGGCTGTAATAAAAAGCAACTGAAATTAAGATGAAATACAATCAGACATGAAGTTTACAAAACTTGATGTTTCGTATTACATAAATCCACAAAGAATACACATAAATAACTATTAACAAATGTTAATTAATTTTTGCCAGCAAGAACTTTACTTTTTTTGGATGTAGACACTCCCTAAATCTTTCCTTTTGTCATTCTTATGGAGGAATGAACCATTATCCTACCAAACTGACCCAATTCTTATTGGCTGGGCCGAAAGCAACATTGCTTAACTCTAGTGATTGAATAAAAACTAATGTTTAAATAGGATATAGCTGTATGTAGTTAATTAGTATCAGTGCATATTGGTATAAATACTGAGATTTCTCTGGCCTTCAGGAAAGTCATGAACCCACTTCACTCTGTACTGTCAATCATAAAATATCTCTAGTCACTGGTATGCCACAACAATTGAGTGAGAACAGAATGCATGAGCATTTGGGTAAATTACACTCTTCCAGTGGAGTAATGGATAGCAGGTTGGATTGAGAAATTGGAGAGATGAGTTCGAATTCCAGTCGGATTTGTTGGATTCACTTACGTGCTAATACCCTTGGGAAAGGTATGAATCCTCTTCTCCCCACTACAAGCTATGGGTAAATAGCAGGACAGACTGGGTTCTATAGCCTTGGATGGCAACTGGTCTATTGCAGAAAGAAATGGCAACCTACTGCAGGAAAAAAAATCTGCCTCGTCAGTCATGTATGTATCATGCATGACACATAACTGTACTTATTTTCCTAGGCAGCAAACTTACGTATAATTGCATTCCTCTGAAAAAGCGTAGTGACATTATTATTTTACCTAATGAATTGTGTATAATTAGATTGATGACAAAAATGAAATTTAATTTCATCTTTCAATATTTTCAATTTTAAGAAAGTACTTTTACACCAACATTATTACAGAAACTCCAGTAAAATCCCTCGATTACTAATGTTTCATTAATTCTTTCATCATTTGTGCAGCAGGTGGTAAGAAAATGTATTTGTATTTTAAGATATATATAAACTGACATTAAATATTTTGTGAGTATTTAAATTTATGAAATGAGATTACGAAAACTGCCCAGTGAAAGCCATTTAACTCCAGAGGTTGTGAGAGAGAGCGTGAAACAGAGAGAGTGAGAGAGAGAGAGAGAGACAGCGCGAAACAGAGCGAGAGAGAGAGGCAGCGAGAGCGAAAGAGAGAGAGCGCGAAAGTGAGAGAGAGCGAGAGAGACACAGAGAGAGCGAGAGAGAGCAAAAGAGCAATAGAGCAAGGAAGAACAAGAAATTGAAAAAAATTTGGCAAAAGCGCAGCTGCTTTTTAAGAGATGGAAATTCTTTTCTCGCCATTGGTGTAGAAATAAAAATCACTTAAAATATTCCAATATTTAAATCTCATTTTTGACATATTGTCAATGTTCATGAAAAGAAGGTTAAGGTGGAGAAAAAGACAGTTTGATTTTCTAGGAAAATTAATCTTTCCTCATTGATTAAAAGGAATTATGGAGAACACATCAGGCAAAATCTTTGCTGCTATTGTGATAGCAACATCAGAAAATATAGTTTCAGTAACTGTTGGAATCAACAAAACAAATCTTGTTCATTTTTGTTTTTTAATCTTGTAACTTTACAAATAAAATACCGAACGATAGTGTATGTTTAAAAAATAAAATATGAAATATACATTCAATATGAGGCATTTTACTTGACTTAATAATTAGCTAAGCAATTAATAGTCAAAATGTACGACATGTGGATACATTTACGGATATTAAAATGAAGTTATCTCCCTTCAAGTGATGGCAAAATTAATACATAGCAATTGCTTGTTTTTTTTTTTAAATATTCACTTCTAATATGGAGTTCCTTTATGCCTACATTTTGTTGATGATAAATATTTCCACCCCTTTACTCCCAAAGTATATTTTTGGCACAAGTTCTTTTCTCTTCAAAATCAGACACTTTAGACTTTACAAGGGAGCACCAGATGGCACGGTCCTCAGACTCTTCCCAGGTGGAATGGGGAATGCCACAATGCTTGTGAGACCTTCAGCGTGTCTTTGTAATGCATTTTTGGTCTACTAAGCGAGCGCTTGCCTGTAGATAGCTCGCCATAGAGCAATTTGTTTGGGAGGCGACAGTCATCCATTTGGCGGACGTGGCCAGCCCCCTTCCCAGAGCTGATATCTCAGTAGGATGGCACGAATGCTCTCCCTCCCAGCATGCTGGGGCACTTTACTGTCTGTGCTTCTACTTGAAATGGAGAAGGGGCCTGAGGCATCTAATATGAAAGGCTTCGAGCTGTTTAGCATGCTGGCTATAGACTGTCCACATCTCTCACACACAGAGCAGGCATGGGAGGACTACTGCGCCATACACTGAGCTTGATGTTAAAAGCTCACTCCTGATTGCTCCCAGACTTTATCCCTCAGTCTGCTGAAGGCCGTACTGGCTCTGGTGATTCTGTACACCACTTCTTCATCGATGTTAATGGAGCATGACAGAGTGCTACCAAGGTAGATGAATTTGTCTGCAACTGCTAGTCTCTCTCATTTTTTATATATATAAAATTTATTTAAAAATTATAACAAATGTTATAAAATCACTACAAAAATAGCCATTTAGTTTCAACACTTCTCCTGTTTTATCAAGTGATAGCATTGAATGTAGTTTCTACATTCAACACTATCATTTGATAAGATACCAGAAGTGTTGAAACAAAATGGCTATTTTTGTAGTGATTTTATAACATATTTATATTATAATTTTCGAATATATATATATATATATATATATATATATATATATATATATATATATATAAATAATTATTGAAAAAATTCCTTATTCATCAAAAATAAATTTTCTGAAGACAATGCTGTCCATAATATTTTATTTGTAAAAGCAATTAAAAACTTTTCTAATTAAATAATGCCTTAGTTTTATTGCATTTTTACTTTATTATTATTTATTTTACAATTAAGAACCAATTTTCTTTAAATTGTGGTCCTGTTTAATGAAGAACATTTCATGATTTAAATTCTCAGAGGACTTCTACTTATAATGAATGTAAACATTAGGCAAGACAAAAAAGAATTTCAGAATTAAAGGAGTGGTAGTAACAGATGGGGAAAAAACATTTTTTTAAAAATTAATTCATTTGTAAATAGGTTTAGAAAATTGCATTAAAATCTGACAGTTATCCGATTTATGAAAGTATTTGCAAATCAATGTGTTTTTCATTGCAAAAAAAAAATTCCTGTATAAATTTAAGGTTCAGTGTTGATGCCAGAAAAACAAGGTTTTTAACCAAATTTTTCCATAGTTCTAAAAAGGATAAAAATAACTTTTTGCAAAAAAAAAAAAAAAAAAAAAAAAAAAAAAAAATAATATTGATATTTCAACTTAATAATAACACACAATTTTGTTTTCTTAATTTTTTGGGGGATATTTTTTTTCCTCATGTATAGTCTTTAGTGAATTTTTGGAGCTACTTTAATAAAGTTTAAAATTACCTCTTGCTCTGTACTGGAGAAATCACATATCTTCATAGCTTGGCATATTTCTTCAAAATTCTCTTTGTCATTTACAGATGCAACACTGATGCTTTGGCCCTGAAATAAAAGAATATAAAAACATATCGATTGATAAACAATGTGCAGGATAATTTTTTTTAAATGCTTTCTACAGATATTTTACTAATGTTACATCCCATAAAAGAAATTCACAAAGGAGAAATGGTTTCACAGGAAAGAAAGCCTTGTGTCAAACATTTATGTGGCTTAAACCAAGAAATGAGGTTAAATTCTACTTAAAGGCTATTACAATGGATTGCCAGTTGCACAAAATTCTTCTGTAATATTAATGGCATAAATTCTTTAAAAAATGGTCAATCATAAATTCTTTATGAAACTTTCCTTGTGAAAAAAAAGTTGCCATAAATCAATTTAAGAACAATGAAATCAGCATATTAACTTCAGACTACTTCTACAGGGTGCATGGAGAAAATTGTCGCCATTTTATATTTTTAATTTTGTGCATATGCATTGTTTGTTTTTGTTGTTTTGTTGGCTGCATAGTATAGTAGAGTCAGTTGAGCACTATGAGAAAAAGAGCACCATGACAATTCACTCTGCTGGAAATTTGGAAATGGTATGCTGTATTGCTTGGCATTTGTAGCAGAAGCTCCAATGAAAATATTTCAGAGTGTTTTGGTGTCTACGTGAAGACAGTGCAAAAGAATTTGGAAGGAGTTGGATGAGCATAATGAAGGTGTTGGGAATGATCACTAATGATAGCAACATTATGCCCCCATCCATCTTTCCACAGGGCCTCAGACTCAACAAAGGCCTACATCAAGTACCTTAAGGAGGTAGTGCTGCCTTAGGTCAAGAGGGTGACTTCTGGAAGGCCCTATGTCTGGCAACAGGAATCTGCACCATGCCACACAAGCAGGTGAACCCAGTCATGGCTGTCAGACGATATTGAAACCACATCACCCCTTACACCTGGAGAAACCCTTGATTATTATTGTGTGGGCTGCAGTTGAGCAAGAGACCAACAAAACTCCTTGCAACACCAAAGATGAACTGAAGTCAAGGATTATGGCAGCATTCATCAACAAGGAGACCGTCCAGAAGAGTGATAGGAAATTGTGAAGAGGTCTGGAGGCCATGACTGAAACAATTGGCAATTTTATTGAATAAATTTACTCTTTAATATTTAAAGATATTTTTCAGTAATTTTGGTAAATATATCTGTTAAAATGAGAGGTCAGTGTTATTTTCATTTTTGCATAATTTAGACAATTTATCCCTCGCAATCTGTATGTCATGTCATTTATGATTTGGGCAATTATTGCTCCCCAAAACCTCTTGTCTTGTTCTCTAGAATCACATTTACCAACAACAGAATTCAACAAGTGACTTTAATAATGAGGCTGTGTCAATTTTTTTTAATTTATAGGAGAAGGGTGATGAAAAGTTTCCAAAATCTGACCAAACATGAAATTTCTTTTTTGGAAAAGCTTCTTGGATGGGCCAGGAACATTGCAACTGTCTATCAGAAAATCCAATTCAAACAAATTGAAATGATCATATATATATTTTTTAAGAATCTGTTAATATATAGATTATTTTATTAAGATTAATGCAAAATTTTCCAAGAGTTTTGGAAAAAAAAAAAACAAGAAAACACTATTTATAATAAATATTTAAAAATCTACCATTCATCCTTGCTTTGAATACTGTTACCACATCTGGTCTGGTGCTCCTGCTATATTTAGAGATTCTGGGTAAAATCCAAGCAAGAATCTGCAATGTTATTGGTCCTGACCTGGCATCATTGTCTCAGTCACTTTCCCATCACCGTAATGTATCTTCCCCCTGCCTTTTCTATAAATACTTTCTTGATAATTGTTCTGAGAAATTTTCCTCTTTGGTATGTATACTTTATGAATTTAAGTCCAGTACTAGATTGGTGGCAAGGTCTCATCATTCTACAGTTGAAATGGCTAGAGGTAACAAAGTTCTATGCTAACAGTTTCTTTCATTGCACTTCTTGCTTGTGGAACTCTTCTAGCTTATTGCTTCCCAATCAACTTTGCATGTAAATCTTTGAACATCAGTGTCAATTGTTATCTACTGTCTTCTAAACTCTTGTTCTTTTTAATGTTCCCCTCTCCTTAATAGTGTTTTTTTTTCTCATATTCTCTCACACTCAGGGACCACCTTCCATATCTTAGTGACTTCCTGTTGTGGAGTGATTTCACAGTGGAGGCTTGTATTTGTACCAAGTCGGTCCTAAAATAGGTTCAACGTACAAAACATTAAGAACTTGATATAACGGGTATAACACAGTAATCTAGTTGTGGTTGCTGATACTTTAGTATTCAACTAACTGTCGTCCGACATTGACTGATTGACCCCTCGTTACTCTTACTACTACTACTACTTATTATAGGTGGGAGAGTCTATTAACTATAGAATAGGTGTGTTCCACTATAACACTTCATTGTCTTGCTTAATTATTTAAAATCAAAAATAAAATCGTGTCATTATTCAGACAATGTATTTTCCCTGTTTTCCTACCTCATTATCCTACTTTTCATATACATCATAAAAAGGAAATGTTTTGCAGTTTTGAAATTGTTGAAAATAGTGGCCAGATAAAGAGTGTTGAATGGAAAAAAAAAAAAGAAAAAAAAAATAGGTGATGGGTATGAAGAATCTGCTTCAGATGAAAAAAAAAACAAAAAAAAAAAAACAGTTTCATGATTGTTTTTTTCTGCCGCATTTCAACTTGACAAATGACAAAATATTTGTCAATTCTCTTACCCAAGAGAAAAATTTTTTTTTTTTTGCATTTTGAGGAAATCTTCACTCCTTCAGTTCAAAGTTTGTTTTTTTTTCTTTTTAACTTCTTTATTCCCAAAATGTTTTCATCTACTGCATACTTTAGTGATCCACTGTCAAGTTTTACTGTGCACTTTTCTCAGATTTCACTGTAAAATGTGCATTTTTATATTTCACTATGATTTTCAGCACAAAATTCCTAAAGTATAGAATTTCAAAATAAAAACTGAGTAAACTTTAAAAGATGCTTCTAAGATTTAACATTTTGCAGAAGATTACACTGGAACTTTTGTATCAATCAAATATTTTATTTGATAGAATTATGATCTTTCATTTTCAGTAATTTTACAAAATTCAAACAGTTAAAAGAAAAAATATTTTCCCCACCGTTTTTCTTTGTATGACTTACAATATATGTGTGTGGTGGGGGTTGCTTCAGAATAACTTTTCTCACAATAATCCCAGAATAAACAACTGATATAAAATTAAAATATTTGTTTCATGATGATAACATCAAGTAAAATGTTTAGAAAATAAATATTTATTTTGATTCAATCTATGAACTGTGGCCACCTCAGTGCCATGTAGCCACTTTTCCAAGACTGATTTATTTTTAATGGAAGTATTATGGGTTGCAACAAAAATTAATGTTAAAACATTAAGGTTTCAAAATAAATAAAGGCATAAATAAATTTTACTTTAATTTTTTATTTAAAAAAAACAAAAAAAAAAATAAAAAAACAAAAAACATTCTTATTTAAAAATTTCACTTAAATCCTCTTGAATAATTTTAGATGGAAATGTTCTTATTAGATTTTCTGGCTCAAACTTATACTTTTTGCATTGTCTTCTATGTAAAAAAAATATTAGGTCAATCCAACGATTTAGAATCAAAAGATCTTTTTGAAAATCTTATTAAAAATTTTCATTTATAATTACCTCCCTTGCATTGCGACTAAATTTTCAGTGTTTTTCATTTTTAATTCCTCCCGTGTGTTCTCAAATTACTTTATGATAAGCAAAAAATATAACAGTAATGTCACTTGTTAATGATTCACTCAAAATGGACAATAAAAAAATAAAGTTTTTTTTTTCAAATTTAGAGATAATATAAATATCTAAAAATGTGTGTGTGTGTATATATATATATATATATATATATATATATATATATATATATATATATATAATTGCCTTCAGAGTAAATTTAATAGAATTTTAGTTAAACATTCATTTTGTATTGTCAAGAAACCAGTTACAAAAACTAACTTGTCATTCCAAATTAGCATTTATCATTCCTGGGGACAATGTTAAACTTTTGGTGGAAGCATCAAAATAGACTGGGGTCAGTCTAGTTAAACTTTATGAGCATTTAACATTGGATCAATATCATTGAATTCTACAGATGAAGTTGAAATAAATGGATCAGGAGATTCAGACTTTGATTATTTACTTGGTAGGGATCATTTTAGCCTAAGACATCCAAAAAGTGTGGGGGTCTGAAATGAGTTAGGGGACATTCAGAAGTAGTAATGTTTTGTTCTTCACCATTATTTCATATTTAAGAATATTGAGCATAGTTCTTAGCCCAACTGGAGAGTCGTCATTTCATTCTTTGTGGCTGAAACTGGTGTTTGAGAAACTATGGTCATTACTTCACAATAGGTCACATTGGCTGCCAGCACTACAAAGTCTCATCATATTGATTTCTCACTGAAAGACAAAAGCTATCTTTTCACCAGGCAAAAGGTTTTCTTTCAATAAATAGAACAATGCATGATATCTGTATTGACCAAGCAGGGAAGTGTTGCTGAACACTTGTCAGTGATGAAGAGGGTAAAGTAAGTGAGAGAACTTCCCTACTCCAGCCTTTTTAAAGGCGATCTGCTTGCTACCAAGCTAAAAAGTTCACTGAAGAATTTTGGAGGAAGGAACTTTTTTTAACCGAGTAATCTTGCCTTCTAGCTTGTTGCTGATTAGTTAATTCATGGACCAATGAAAAACTGTCACACCAAGATCAGTGTCATTGATTTTTGTGGGATTGGGACCATCAGTTGACCTTGTCAGATATACTGTATTTCAGAAATATTTTTCCTTCTTAATCCTTGATCACCAATTAATCTCCTTTATTCGACACCCACAAATGTTAAACAACCCTCATCCTAAGATATCAAATTTTTTTTTGTGGGAAGTGGACAATTCTTAATCTATCCGGTTTCTTCACATACTTAAAAGCTGAATTGTTTTCAATATTTCACAAATGTTAAATATCAAATTTATACTGCTGTTCCGTAACTTAGTTTTAGCATTATTTCAAAAAGAAGTCTGGAACATTGATGAAAAGTCTGTCTTCAGGCCAATGCACTGTGTTTCTTATTGAAAGTCAAATCAGCCATCCTTTCACTAAGAGAAATGGTTTCTTGTAGTAATAGATAGCACAATGCATATGTTCTATATTGGCTACTTTTATTGTCCCCAGTAATTACTTGTCAGTGATAGATAGGGAGAAGTGAGAGAGAGTTTCTTGGTCCTAACCTTTTGCAGACCCCTGTTATTGTCACAAAGCTAAAAATCCCACTAAAGAATTTTGATCGGAGGAACTATTTTTTCTTTTTTCTTTAAAATGGGGTAATCTTGCCTTCCAGGTTGTTGCTGATTAGTCAATCCATGGATCAATGAAGAGCCTCACCATATCATGTTTAGTTTTCTTTATTCTTCTGGGATTTGTGACCATCAATTGACCTTGTCAAATATATTGTATTTCAGAAATATTTTTCCCTTCTTAATCCCTGACCTTTAATTAATCTCCTATATTCAATACTCACAAATTGAAATCAGCCCTCATTCTAAAACATCAATATTGTGTTTTTTTTTGTGGTGTGTGTGTGTGGGGGGGGGTGCTGGGTTAAGGGAAGCACTTCTTGATCAAGTTTAGGACATTTCAGCACAACTTTATATACACAAACTATAGCCATATACGTTTGGGTTATTAATTTTGAATAGTTAATGTAAAAACTGATTAAAATATTTCAGAGCAATACAAAAACATTATGTATATCATATATCATAGAAAATGATTTAATAAGAGAAGAGAAACTTTACCTGGCGCAAATAATGGTATTGGTTGGGATCGGCAGCCAAGTTTACTCTCTCTAGCAGATCATGGTTTCTGCTGCACAAAAGTTGGTAGAAAATATGAAAATTGCGTTCCCCTGTTGCATGTTGGACAACACGTGACTTTTCTAAAAGATAATTCAAGATGTGACCTCCAACTGGAGCTCCCTGTAAGTATAAATGATAAGAATACTAGTAATCATTGGAACACTGGGATTTTGTACAAAGAAAAAACAATTGAAATATTGAAAAATATTGGTTTACAAAGTGAAAATAGAGCAATTAAAAGAAAAAAAAAAAATTTTTGGTTTGGTTTGGTTTACAGCATATCAACCACAATGGGTTATTTAATGCCGACAAAATTTCCGTTTTTTTTTCAAAAATGTACAGCTTGGTTTGTTTTGTTTTGTGGCATATTAACCTCAATGGGTTATTTAATATTGACAAAATTTTTATTTCTGGTAATATTCTTTTTCAAATATTCATTGCTGATACTAATTTTTTAAAAGCATTTCTGGTATTAAAATCTATTTTTACACTTTCATAGTGTTTTGAGTCAGGTTGTGGGGTCAACTATTTACCCATAGCTGGGACCCTAACAGGTGCTACCACCCCGGGTCAGGGTGGACCTGGGAACACCAGTCATTAAGAGGTGGTTACACGCTCCTCAAAATCTTCTGGTCAGAGGCCTTGCTGTTGGACATAGTTTATTGTCTTACCCAGAATGCAGATGCAATTTATCGTCATACCCAGGATAAAACAAAATATGCTTGTTCAGAACAGCAAGGATACTTCAAAGAGTATCAGCCACAGACTGTTAATGAACTGGCCAGTTGATTTTCTCAAGGAAGTGACCTGAATATAAACTTACCAGCAACCAACATGGTGCATGGAAATGAAATAATAAAAGGGAAATATTGTATAAGGATTTCCCTCAAGAAAAATGTTTAGATCAATTTATGAAATGGAATAATGGTATATAGAGAAAAAAGAACACTGAATTTGTCATTTAGTCATCTAAACAAAATGCCTGCCTTTCAGAGAATCTCTTTATTCCTAGAAGTTTCAGATTTGATAGAGTTGAGCTTTACAATTTTGTAACATGGAAAAAATAAAAATGACCGTATTTGATGGCATATAAGGCGCACTTTTTTTTTCTTAAAAATATCTTTTAAAATTCCCCTGCATCTTATATGCCATATGTAGGTTTACTAATTTTACTAATTACTAATTTTTTCTTGATTTGTCCTGCTGAAATTATCTTATACACCCATGCGTTTTATATGCTGTCAAATGCAGTAATCAAAACCTTCAGGAGACCACCATTTAAAAACAAATGTGTGTAAAAAAAAAAAAAAAAAAAAAATCTGTTTCTACAAATGGCAAGAAAAATCATTGTTTATGTAGAATGAAAAAAAAAAAAAAAAATGTCAAGGATTCTGTTGTGTGCAGCAAATACCAAACTGGCTTTCATCCTGATGAGAAACAATAGCATTTAGAGTAACCACATTTTTTAAAAAATATATACAGGCTGATAGATAGCTCCAGGAAGTTAAAGAGCAATTTCAAATCTTACAAAAAGATCAGTTCTGAAGTAATAAATTATTATGGCTTCTGGTTCTGGGATATGAAAATGTTCAGGTGGTGTAGTGGATGATGGATCAGAGAGCAGAGTTTAAATTCCAGTCAGGTTCATTACATTCATTTATTAGCAAATAACGTTGGGAAAAGTATGACCCATCTCCCTCCAACTATGGGTTAAATAATAGGACTGAAAAAACAGTTATTCTTACTTAATTGTTAATATGATATTCACATAAAAAAAAAAAAAAAGAATTATTCTTACAATTTAAAAAATATATTTTGGTTTTAAATAACCCCCAAAAGGTTGATAAGCCATAAAAAACAAATCAATCAATCTGGGTTGTGTTAATGAATATTAACAATTATACAATTCAACCAGGTATGGCTTAGGGATTCAATTATGTGAGGAGAAAAATACAACTTATGGTTGGAATAAACTAATTGCCATTGAAGCGAAATTTATGAACCACAAAATATGCAGCAGAATCTAACACATGGAATGAATGAATGATTTTGGGAGTCACTCAAAATTTTTGAAGTGACAAAGATATTTTAAAGAAAATATAACTCAACATACATCTTACGGTGACCAGAAAAGTATCAGTCCAAATATTGTGATCAAGACAAAAGATAAAAAGGACATACTAGTTAAAATAAGTGACAGAAATAAAACCAGTACTTCATCTGAACATTTCAAACACAACAATGAACAGAGAAGGCATCAACTGAAAATGGTAAATGAAGCAACAAAGAGAATAATAATCTTAGAGTTTGATAATGGCATTTCTTTATAAGTATTTTTGACTTTGGACAAAAACTTCACTTATTGTTATTTATTGTATATAAAATACAATTACGGCACAAGGCCAAAATGGGCAGGGGTTGAGGCTGGTCGTCACTAACTATCTTATACCTAGCTAATCTAATTCACGACCCATTCACTCATTACAATTTCCACATTCACCATAAAATCTCATATGTCACCAATCAATCCTCCATACACCATAATACTGCATCCTCTCAAGGGGGTCCTACAAAACAGGCCCCATGTCATAAAAATTTAATGATAATAAATTATTATATATAAAAATCTAAAGATAAAGAACGAGAGGGAAGGGAATGAAACCCAAAACAAACTAAACATAGATACAAAAGTGAACTAAACGATAACTGATGTCAGTCCAGCCCTCAAAAAAGAGAGGCCGCTGTATTCTCCCCATTGGACAAAATCAAGAAGCTCTCTCACTAGGGGAGTAGGAAAAGTGAAAATATAGATGGACATGGGAAATAAAAAGCTGACTCAGTCAAGATAAAAGGGGCTAAAATAAACTGGGTTGGTTGTGAATCTCAACTTGGATCATATCCAAAGTGGCAGCCAGGAACAACATTTACTCACATTAATTAGGTAGACAAAAGCTTGTCTAATCTAACCAAGGGGAGGGCCCCACAGGAAAGCACCCCAATGTGACGTAGGTTGACCTAAAATAGGAAATCAAGGCTAGCCTTTTCTACTCTATTCACTATACTATTCCTCTATTTAAGTCACTATACAAATTACTGTGAGTATTATTGAGCAAGTGTTATTAGTGGGAGTGCTAGTCTAAGGTGGCGTACTATAGCTGTATCTGCTATAATGTAATATCTACTACAATGAGCATTACAAAAAAAAAAAAATGAGTATTGGCATCACAAATGTGGCACTGGGTAGAGACAAATGTTATATAGGAATAAAGTGTGGCTGCCGACACTTGAGTTTGAACATAGATCACCAGTGAGCAAACACAGATGAACCCATTATTGAATTAAGTAGACCACATGACCATAGAGGAAACACATATATGGAAGGTAGTGTGACATCTAATTGATCACTACATTCTAGTCTATCCCCCTATTACTCTACGGATCACCATTTCTACTCTATCCCCCTATTGCTCTACGGATCACCATTTCTACTCTATACCTTTTCTCTCCTCTATTAACTATACTATTTCTCTATTCAGATCACTATACGGGGGTTACTTTCAAGTGGGTATTATTGAGTAAGTACTATTAGTGCGAGTGCTAGTCAAAGGAATCTGGCACCAGTATTGTTAAACGGCATACTAGAGTGGTATCTGTGATTGCAAAGTCCCTATTACAATGAGCAAGACGAAAGTGACGAGTATTTGTTGGCATTACAAAAGTGGCAATGAGTGTGTAGACATCACAAAAGTTTTCATGTCATAAGTGTGTTGGTGACACAAGTCAATGAGATTGAAAAGAATGTCCGTGCAAATGTAGAATCTATCCACATTCAGCAAACACTTTAAGAGTACATACATAGAATTCTGAAAGCAGATAAAATCCCCATCTTTGTCATACTCATATTTTCAATTCCTAGTTTTCTAGACTTCATTAAATTTATCTTTGATCTCAATCAGGTGCTTACAAATATTTACAAAACTTAATTTGATGCAGAAAAATTAAGATTCTTCTGTCTTCCAAACAAGACATTTCCTGCCTTGAAAAATCAACATTCAAAATCAGGTTTTTTTATTTATTTGACATTAAGCACAAACTAAAAGACATGCAAAAAACATGCACAATTATTTTAGCCACACAGCAAACTAATACACAAGCTTAAAAGTTTGAATTTTATTTACTTATAAGAAGGTAAACTTCTGTTCTTATGTCATTGAAAGTCTACGTGTCTTTATTTTGAATTAAATAGTGATTTCTTGGATTATGTGCATTGACATATCTTTATATTGAAATTTTCTGATAGAAATATTTCTTACATTTAGTAAGTGTCTTTGTTAAGAGTAAACCCCAGAAAATGAAATCAATATTTGATAACTAAATGGGAGGAGGAGGAGGAGATCTTTATTAATATTCCAATGTTTATTCACAACATCAGACTTTGATGTCCTGAATTTTTAATAGTAGCTGTGGAGAAGAAAACAAATTCAAATCCCAGGCTACAGGTGAAAAACAAATTAATATACAAAAATTTACCTTGTAGTCAAACTGTATGTCCATGAATTTTCCAAACCTACTCGAATTGTCATTACGGTTTGTTTTGGCATTTCCAAAAGCCTAAAAGAAAAATGAAAAACAAATTTAGAGTACAAAAAAAGAAATATGAGTACAAATCTGTAAAAAGAATATATCTGTTCCCAAATTGTTCTTTTTGGATATAATTTTCTTATGTGAAAAGAAAGGATTTAGAAAATAAAAGTCTTGGAAATGAGTAATTTTTGGTATCCAGCATTTTATAAAGAAGCATCTCTGGCATTTGTGCTGTCCCCCACCCCCGCAAAAAAGTCAAAAACTCATTAATTTATATTCTTTTCAGGAGGCTGCTTTGTTATATGCACGTTTTTGCTATATAGAATACGATATGCATACAGTATAAGGCAATTTTCAGCCTGCACAGAAAGAAGCAAAGAGCATCTAATATTCATACAAGAGACAATTAGATTTTCACACAGGAAAGAAAACTCAAAACAATGACTAAAGACAAGGAATTGAGGTTATCCTCCGTTCCCTGCCTTCAGTCATTGTTTTCAGTTTATGTGATGGATGTCAACTTGTTAAATTAATATGACCTTCACTGACAAGTTTGATCAATGCTTTTGGTTCTCATGAGAATGACAAGAACTCTTGAAGCCGGCATGTGGCTTATTTATTACAGATGTAGCAAACAGTGTTTTGTACAGGGTTTGGCCCGTTTTGTAAACTCTGTTCAGCTTGTTCCTGGGTTTTCATATGGTGGGTTAGACTGGGGAGGTTTCTGTAGGTTTCCTGATATACCCTGTATATTAATTCATTTCCAGTGTTGTACTGATCATAATTCATGAAAGTTTTATCAAAATGCCGCTTGTGGCTAACAAAGCCTGCATTGGAGAGACTTGCTCTGCTACATTCATTATGCATAAATTGATGGCTTTAAAAATTCCATTTACAAGACAATTGTTTATAATAAAATTCTGTTCAATCGGTAGACTCATAACGATTGAAAACAATGTTTTTGTTAGAGTTTGACCAATTCGTAAAAAAAACAAAAAAAAAGACAAAAAAGACAAAAAACAAAAAAAAAATAATTAAGACATGCGTGTCCGTCAACCTTAAACAATAATCTTTGTCAATTTTATTTTTCAGTCTTTATGATGGTCGATACTTGATCTATCTCTTACTGTTGCATCGCCGGGCTCTACTGCTAGTATATATATCTCCAGGTAAGATGAGAATGAATAGAATACAGTTCCAACATTTAATTCAATTTAAGCCTTTTTTTTCTCAAAAAGATGAGGTATTTTGCTTTTGAAATTAAATTAATTGTTCACTCGCCAGTAATTTACAATCACCTGAGGAAATGCATTGATGTGTCGAAACACAATTACAATTGAATAGTGATTTTTAACATGTTTTTGATTTAATATCCTAAAATAAATCATATATGACAGAGAGAGAGAGAGAGAGAGAGAGAGAGAGAGAGAGAGTCAAATGAAAAAAAAATTACATTTACACAAAAACCGGTTGAATTTGTAAATTTCATGATTATTCAAACATTTCGTCAATAAACTAACAAAGATTGTATTTGGGTTAATTCAAGCTAATTTCTTTTACTCATCATACATATGACCTTTTCTATTGACCTTTTTTTGTACAAAATATAAACTGGGTAAAATTAATTTCATTCATATATTATCTCCCTAGTTATTCCATTTTACTTTTTTGTTTAGACATATTTGGCAAGATTGCATTTCTGGAACTGATCGAATTGCTATCAAATCTTGTTGGCAACAAAAGTCTTTAGGCTGGAAGAAAGAAATTCCAAGTGAAAAATGGTCAGTGAATAGAGCAGCAAAGTTATGTGAGGAATTTTAATCTGGAATCAGGTTTGCCTGCTTAAAAAAAGCAAAGTATACATACAAAAACCATGACCTGCTTTAATCTCTTAGGGTTCTGCTTTCTCAAACATTTTAGTGTTGTTAGAAAACAAAAAAAAAAAAAACAAGAGCAAACCAGAATAAACTTGTAGCTTGTCAAAATCAAATATCTTGTTTAAGTCATGTGTAAATCAGTTCTCAAGTTGTGACATTTTAGTTTGAGTGCAGGTCATGTCGAGATGGGAAGGAGGGAGGTGAACAAGCAAAGGATTCCTTTGCCAACCAATTACTTGTTTTATTCTTTATATATATATATATAATTTTAGTGATGGTACAATAATATTTTTACTAATTCTGATACTATTCTAAATTTATGATTCCTGATTCTGATACCAAGAATAATTAAAATTCATTATTTTCAGGCTCTACAGTTGGTTCGAGAAACTTAATGAACAAAGTACATTTATTAATAAAAAAATTTAGTAGGAAAATGAATACCAATGCTTATGAAATAGAGATAGATATCCTTATTTAAAAAAATTGGGTAAGAGTTTAAACAATAAAGAACAATTTCTTTACGTAAATCACTTAAGCAAATACCCAGCTACATTTGACATCTTGCTTTACTCTGGTTATCATCAGAAATCTTAATAAACTTCCAAACTAAACTTTTCTGCTTGGCATTGGATACATTTGTCATAATTGGGGTCTGAAAACAAACAAACATGGGCATTTTTCAGTGAATGAAACAAGTTTAGGGGTGACAATTCAAGTTCAGCATGCACTTCAAAAATAAGAAATACCCTTAGGGCCTTTATATATATATATATATATATATATATATATATATATATATATATATATATATACACACATATTGCAGCAATAATACTTTAAGCAGAAAGAGATCATCCTATGTATTGTGGCTTAACTCCTGCATATATTTTGATAATCCTGCAAGACAGTGAATAAAAAATAAATGCAAATATAAATTTGCTTACAGACGTTTAATAAAAATTAAGAATGAATTATTACAGCAACTTAATAAATAATAAAGGGTCTTCAATCTTATCTAAAAAATTTAATTACAAATAAGTTTTACTCTTTAATTTTTCACAATTAAAAAATTTAATAATTTCTAAAAAGAATCTGAAAGCGTTTTATTTAAAAAAAAAAAGAATGAAAGTGCAACAACACAGTAAAAACATGCCTTGATCTTTTTAAAAAGAGATATAAGCAATTTTAGCAAACTTTACAATAATCTTTTAAAATATTAGGAAGTTGAAAGCTAAATAATACTGATATTCAACTTGATCTTTTTATAAGGTATGATTCAACTGTTACAAAGCATTAAATTAAAAATCATTAAAATCTTCATAAGGATCAGAACAATTGTAAATGTGTATTTTTTGGATGTGATCGATTTTTTTTCTAGTTATTTATTAGATTATTAGAAGATGAAATTTTATTAGTTTTATTTTAAAAATATTAAGACAAATCATGTTAAAAGTGGAAAAAACTATAATCATGCCAGATAAAAACGGGATAAAAATATTAGTTTTTAATGTTTTGTAAACACTTCTACTTATAAAAAAATAAAAACTTGCATCATGTTTGACTATGAGTTGGAATAAATGATAAAAAAAGTTTAAAATATTTTAAATGCCATAAAAATTTAACACAAGAACGTTCAATTATGCCAAAGAAAAATATTAGTAAAATAAAATTAAATACAATTTTAGATGGAAATTAAACTTTAAATTTTTTTAACAAACTTTTGTGTGAAAAAGCTTTTTTCAGGTAACTTCAAATAAGTTATTTTTTTAAGATGAAAATCTGTTTCAAAAGCTATAAAATTTTAAGAAATACATGAATTTCGCAGAAACAAATTTAAGTTTCATAAAAGGAGTATTTACTTTTTAAAATATCGGTTATTGAAAAAGATTTATTTTTTTGTTTATGCAATGTGCTATGTAAACAAAAATAAATCTTTTCAATAATCAAGACTAAAAAATGATTTTATGGATTCAGACTATTATAAAATCACTACGAGGACAATTTGTGACACGAGGTCAATTTGTGACACGAGGACAATTTGTTATGTGAAGAAATCAATTGTGACATTAGTGGGAATTCCATTCATTTTTTTGTTCTTTTTTATAAAAAAAAAAATTTATCTTAAAAGAGAACCAGAACAACATGAATTCATTTTGTGTTTATATTATATAATTTTGATTATAATTATTAAATTTATGATATTAAATGTGTGAATTAACAATGTTTAAAAGAAATTAAAAATAAAAAAAAAATCATTTTGAACTGTAATAGACTTTAAAGTAGCAAACTTTATGGAACATTTGAGAACTGAGAAGAAAATTGCACTTTTTTTTTTTTTTTACCACAAGTAAAAATACTTAGATTTTAGTTTTACCGATTGTTTAAAATCAATAAATATTTATATCTTTCTATCATTACCAATGCTTGCATAAAAGAAGCAATCAGCAAAGAAGAAATTAAAGCTGACAATAAATAATATAATATTAGTGTTAATTTGAAATACTGTTTTTGAAGCCCAAATTGCTGGTATTTCAGTAGTTTGCTGATAAGGAGCCATTTAAGGCAAGCACGGTTTGTAGCAGAGCGCTCAATATCAAAGACAGAGCATTAATAGAATTAATATGAAAGACTTTTTTTTTCACTTATGTTTGCTTCAAAGTTTTGTGGTTATATAGGTATAGCCACTTGTTAGAATATATTAACTCTGTTCCGACGAGTAGTTATATCTATATAACCATGAAACTCCAAAGTAAACATGAGTTAAGTGAAAAAAAACTTTTTCATATTAATTCTAATATTATATATTATAAAAAATCTAAGTAAAAATATTCATCTATTTCCAGTTATTAGTTTGTTTTTTTAAGCAAGGCAATAAAGCCACTATGGAAGAATGAGAAAAAAAAATATTATTAAGGAGAGGGAATAAAATAACGAATTAAGACATAAGATATCGATTGGCATTGCATTTAAATTTATGAAGATCAAAGTTGACTGGAAAGCAAAAAGCCAGAAGAGACTTCTATAAGCAAGAAGTGTGAGAGAAGAAACAGAAGTTACCAGATCTAGTCATTTGAACTGTAAAATGATGAGACCTAACTGCCAATATTGTATTGCACTTAAATTTGTCAAGTCAAGGTACTTAAGAAGAAAGCTCATCAAAACAATTACCATGAAAAAGTTTATAGAAAAGTCACAAGGAAACTACATTATGGGGTGGAAAAGTGACTGAAGCTGTAATGTCAGGACCAATATAAGTTTGCTTGTCCACGCTGTTCTTACCATTCATCAGTACAACAAAATCTATCTATCTCTGAAGTAATAGTCCCACATTTCCTGCCATGTAAGAGGGTAGATATGACATAGCAGTTCAGGACTTTTCTGAATTTCTAAAAACATTTTCCTTTTTTAATACTTTGTTTAGTTTCAGAAAGACATCTTTCACTATTCCTATCTACCTCTTTTGTGTCACTTACCAATTGCTTGTTACTACACATGACATAGGTGGTTTAATTTGTGTACCCTTTTAATTTTCACATCCTTTATATGTGATTCACAACTTGAGCCATCACTCTTGCTGATAACCATGCATTCCATCTTATTACAGTTAATAGTTAATCCTTTCTTCTTGCTTTTCTTTACTACCTTATCCATTCTTTCAGTTGACAGACCAAAATCTTCTTAGTATTCTTCTATTAGTAATTAACAACCATAGTTTGAATGTTATGATGAATAACAATCGTTACATTCCAAGAAATTGACTAAGTCATAAAACATTATTTATGCTAAGAAGTTTGTAAATTTATCCTGATCTAGATGTTGGGAGTGTCAGGACAAAGTGAATGTTGATTGATGAGAGCCAAGAAGACAATGATTTATGTAAGTTATTTGCACATTTCTATGTCTTAACAAATGAATGGATACTGAATAAGACATTTTATCAGGACAAGGAAGGCAGAGGCATATGGAGTAGCCTATATAAAGGTCATGGATTCTTGACCTTTATCAAAAAAGATACACCTCCTGTCTCAACACACAGCAATGTTTTTAGCTTTTTTTTTAGTTAGTACTTTGTATGTCAATTCCACAAAGTTGCTCCTTGCAAATTGACCAGATTCTCAACTGGATTTAAATCAGGAGAGTTTCCGGGCCAGTCTATAGTACTCTGATCTGCTCACTGGTAAAGCTTGCCAGTGTGTTCATGCAGTTTTGCAATTTTCGTACACTACCTTGGAGTAATGTCCATTGTAGACAATGGCTGTAGGACAACTAATCAACAGTTGAGACAATAGTGTCTGGGCATGATAAAAATCTGATGCAATTATGGTGATGTAATGAATATGCATACACCTGGGTTCCCCCTCGTAGCAACATGATTGGCTGGTGTCAGCCATAAATACAGACTGATGTGGAAGTACAGGACAATGCCTATTGGCTACACCTATTGTCTTTGCCTATTGCCTACCACTACGACGAGGACCAGTCCATTATGGTTACCTACAAGTTTGTCCTACTCGGTTACAGTAGTCCAAAACCACTTTGCTACATCAAACAAATATATCCCTTTCTGGGACATATCACATGGATAACACAATATTTTTCAAGGGCAAACAATTTCAACATACACCTGAACATAAATTCATATTACTGCACACTATTGCAAATGACCTAATCTGAGGTAAAAATAGAAATAGATCATTGTCATGTCAGTGGGTCTAAAACTGACTGTATGTTGAAAGAAAGGAAACTAAAGCAGTTGTTTCAATTAATTTGCGCATGGGCATAGAATGGCACAGATAATAAAGGCTGTTTATAGATGTTATACTACTTAAGACCTCTTTGATTCACAAAGACATTTCATGAGATGCATCAGTCAGATGTGAACACTAAGAAAGCAAAGAATTACAAAAGCCATCTTCTGCACAGGAGCTCGAAGCATCACATCTGGTCCACAAAAGAAATCCCTGTAAAAATCTAAAATACAATAGCCAATAATGAACATTGCTGTTGGGGGAAAAAATGTGTTTGAGAGCTTGCACCTGTTAAACCACAGATATAAAAATGGCACTCTTCACCAATGACAGACGGTTTGGCTTTAACTGCCAGTTCATCATATACCTCACCAGTGTTGATTACAACCATGAAAAAAGGCATATGTCAATCATCAATAAAACCCTATTCAGCTTCAATAATCTGCTCCAGGCCTCTCCCCTGACAACATCTGTGACCTCGACCAACCAATCCAACAAATCGGTTGACTCCTGGCCCTATCAACAACACACCTAATCATGTTCCTTACTGATGGCAAATAAAAAGCTATATTAATGATTCTTGCCTCCTTTTCACACAACTATGTATATACTCTTCACACCTGATCAATACACATTGTTGAAATTTTAATTCTTGTTTATTCTTTCCCTTACACACCATATGCACATCATAACAGATTATTGGATAGTTCAAGAATAACTTCCTACCTCCAAGACAGGGTTGGATTTGAGAAGACGGTCTTTGACCCTCTCTACTTCAGATGAGTGGGTGCTGCTGGCTGCTATGTAGTGAAGCAATTTCTTTGATGCTTCTGTCTTGCCAGCACCGGATTCACCAGAAATCAGTACACATTGATCACGGTTCTCGCCTCGCATCGAACGGTAAGCAGCATCAGCAATTGCAAATCTACAAGACAAACAGAAACCTTTGTCAGTAACTTTTTATGAATTAGGAACAAGAAAAAGCCCAAGAAAATATGTTTGTGTAAGTTTTAATGTTTTAAAGCAGGGGTCGGCAACCTTTTGGTAACTATGTGCTGACTTAGGGTTTTAATGTTTTAAAGCAGGGGTTGGCAACCTTTTGGTAACTATGTGCTGACTTAGGGTTTTAATGTTTTAAAGCAGGGGTTGGCAACCTTTTGGTAACAATGTGCTGACTTAGGGTTTTAATGTTTTAAAGCAGGGGTTGGCAACCTTTTGGTAACTATATGCTGACTTAGGGTTTTAATGTTTTAAAGCAGGGGTTGGCAACCTTTTGGTAACTATATGCTGACTTAGGGTTTTAATGTTTTAAAGCAGGGGTTGGCAACCTTTTGGTAACTATGTGCTGACCTTAGGGTTTTAAAATCATTCAGTGTGCCAACATGATACATATTTTTATACATGTCAAAGTCAATATACTTGTTCTATAATATATTTTATATCGTAATATATCTAGCATATATACTTTAGTATATATAAAAATTGAAATGGCTAAGTGTCTTCTTTGTGTTGTAGTAGTTATTGGTTCAAACTTCGTGATGTCTTTTATGGCTGTGTGCCATTGGAAATGCATTAACTTTGGATAATGGAAATGTCTGTCAATAGCAGTTCTCTAACCCATTGGTAATTTACAGGAAGTTCTGCTGCAGGAGATTAAGCTTGGTGTATGAATTTCATAGAATTCAATCACATTTAGATATTTATCCTAAGATCTGTGGCTATTTTAAGAGGATGCCCGAGTCTGGGTGGATCAAATAAAACATTGCCTACTTTTATAAGGATGGAGGAAGAGTGGGGTAATGGATTGTGGTTCGGATTAAAGAATCAAACTGAGCTAAGTTTGAATTCCAGTAGAGTTCATTACATTCACTTACATGCTAATACCTTTGAGAAAGGTATGAATCCATCTCTTCTCCCCCCCATCTATGGGTAAAATAGCTGGACAGACTGGGTTCTATAGCCTTAGGTGGCAACCAGTCTAGAAGAAAAAAATGAATTCAAGACCTACAATTATGTCCGAGAAATTTTCATAGATTAAAAATATCTTAAAATAATTGTCGGACTTTGTCCATTTCATAATGTGTGACATCATTTGTTTACATTTGATATGCTATGGGCAAATATGAATGTATGGGAGAGATTCATGAAAGATTAAAGTTTAAAGACAGTAAAATCGACCTTGCTAACTGAACGCTCTTCTGTGGCCGAAACGGTTAAGGCACGTCAGGCTATATGACGGTTCCGTATAGGATAGAGGTTCGATTCCTGTTGGAGGACGAATATTTTCTATGAAAATTTTTCGGACATTCAGGCCGGTAAATGTTGTTTAATACTGTTTATTATAAAACAGAGAATTTACTTAAACATTTTTATCTATAAAAAGAATGTATAAACATAAAAGTGTCTTATATATATATATATATATATATATATATACATATGCATGAGAGAGATCTTCCTGTAGAAATGTCCAACCATTTTGAACATCCCCAGAAGCAGTTGGATAGCATTGCTGTAACTTGGCAACCAATCAGGCAATCTCTCATGGGGTTATTCAGTCAGCAGCTGGGTGCCACTGAGTCAGTGTTACTATCATGTCCACAATGACAGAACAGATGCTGGTCTCATGCAGGGCATTTTGCCAAAACCTCATATCGTCCAGATCTATCAGGCACCCACTTTCAGCCCAGATTCAGAGTACCTGCAACTCCTGCCTTTTCTCAAAGTGAATAATTGTAATTGAAATTCAGTGGACAAGATTAAAGAGAATGTTGCTGATGGAAATCTCAAAAGAATTTCACAGACTTGAAAAGAGAATTGGACACGGGAGTAATTGTGTGGGGTCCTGATGCGAGTACTTTGAAGTGAACTAAGGCACCAGAGGTCAAGAGACTCTTTAATATTCAATTATTTGATACTTTCTGGATAAACTTTGTGCATATGTAATCATAGAAGTAAAAAAAAAAAAAAAAATTGAATAAACAGGTTTCTACTATTACAGTATTTTGATGTTTCTACTATTTTGGTATTTGCATTTATATTACATATTTAGTAATATTGACACATTAAAATTTTACATTTTTTACATATCCTATTCTTATATTGATAGGTTTCTGCTATTGTAGCAGTTTCATATGGAGAATTGTTTTCTAACTGATATAATAATAACAAATTTGCTTTTATTACTGATAACACAATTGTATAACACACACACACATATACACAAAGGGAGGTAATCATAAAAGCGAATGTCATTTTTGTCTGAAAATTGGTTTCATCAAACAAAAGTCTTAAATCAAATCTTCACTTCGTCAAATAGTTCAGAAAATTAAGGGGAGGTAACTTTTATATCTGAATAGTGCTTTTTTTTTTTTTTTAAAGTATTTTTTTGTTTATTTACGATAATGAATAGCCCTTTCTACATAAAATCACTGAAGTCTTCATTCAGTGTTGCTTAATATTTGGATTTTATTCTAGAAATAAAAGTTAAAAAAAATTACAAAAAACAAACCATATTTGACATATCCAAATTACCAAATTAAATTCATAAATAAAATATTTTAAATAAAACATTCTGTATTACAGTTAATTCATATTTTAATGATTTTAATTTAATATTTTATTTTATATTTGTCGAGAAAAGAAAATTCCTGACTTTGATTTCAACATTAATTCTTTTAAACAAACCAAACGACTTATTTTCAATCTTACATTATCGTAAATAAACGATCAAATTTAACAAGTGTAATGTTTAAACTTTAAACAATACGTAATTCAAGAAAACATCAGCGAGATATAACAGTTATCTCCCTTTAAATTTTTACATTTGGATTTCTTTGTGAAGATTCGATTTAGTAAGGCCAATTCTTGGGCAAATTAAATTCACTGTTAGGAACTGAACCAACACAATAATATATTTTTTTTCTTCTAAATATATATTTATATATTAATATAGGTTTTCAGATAGGCTTGTAATCTTAATTTTTTCAGATGAATGTGTCATATCTTTCTTGAATTGGGAAAAAGTCAAATGCATATGAAACATGATTAACCAATGAAAGTCAAACAACACAAAAGTAAAAATACCAGAATTTTTTTCTCAAAATATCTCATTCTCTGATGAAACTTTAATAAAAGTGAAATATGTTAAATTGATAAATCTTTCCTATTTGTTCTTTATCTTATCCCTATATATATATATATATATATATATATATATACGCGCACATATACACAATGCGATGGGTAAATTGTCGTCACTTTTATTTTGTATAGTTTTTCGATTTTGTTGACAGCACAGTATAGTTAGGCTCAGTTGGGTACTATCTGTGAGAAAAT